AACCCACGCTGGCTGACCCTGCCAGAGCAAGGACTGGACTGGATGATGTCCAGAGATCCCAGTCCATCTCCATGACCACGTCCATGCCACTCTGCCCACTCATAGGTGTATCTTTCCACGGGCTTGCTCAAGAACTTTTCTTGTTCTCTTGGCCTCTGAAATCAGCAGTTTATTTCCAAATGCGAACACTAAAAGTCAAGTCCTTCTGGAGCAGTGTTTTCCTGTGTATGGCCACCATGGGAGACACTGCAAAGTGCATTTATGCCTGTTGCTGCCTTACTGTCTTGGCTTTTTAGATCCAGGTATTGCCCTAATTTTCTGTATTTAATGCTTGATGAACACATGAAACTAAAAACCCAGCAGCGATCGCAGGAGGTTACCTCGAGAGAAGGACAACTGGCTGAACGGGGGCACCATTCCCACTGTCACTGGAGGGATGTCAATACACATTTGTGTTTCCAGGCTGAACAGGGAGGGAAACCCAGCTAATCCCAGCGGCTTGTAGGGTGGCAGCCCTGCTCATTTCCGGCAGCCTCCCTTCACAACTCTGTGTCCCACCTGGAAAACGTTAGGTGGAAGTGCTTCTGCTTTCCCCCTTTTCCCTGCTTTGGTGGCGAGCCTGGTCCCCCAGGATAACACAGACATAGAGCTCATGCCTGCAGCCTGCACCGTGCAGTGCCTGCTCCCTGCTGCTGCTTTCCCCCCCTCCCTGCCATGGCCCTTTCTATAGGGAAACCGAGGCATGGACTCCTGCTGCCACTCGGGAGGCACTGTAACCCTCCCGGCCACCCCGAGGCTGCTGTCCCCGTGGGGCTGCGTGCCTGGGCTCTCCCGCAGCTCTCAGCGTGGGGCGGGCCTGGGTCGTGCCCGGTGTCCCCGCACTTGCCAGCACCTCTGTGCCACTCGGCGTGGCAGCGGCATCCCCCCACTCAGCCCCCTCGGAAGGCGTGTGCTGGAGGCAGCCCGAGCATCCCTCATCGCCGGTGCGCTCGCCCTGTCGAGGCGGAGCAGGCGGCAGGGCTGGAGGCAGCAGCGCAAGTAACGGAGGCGGGATTCCCGCCGCAGCTTTCGCTTTCCGGTTTCCAGAGCTGCCAGGCTGTGGATTTCCCTTCCAACGTGAAAGCAGTCACACCGGGCAGGTGGAATAAAAAGCCGGGGAGATGGGGCAGCAAGGCATCCACAGCCAGCAGAGCAGAGCAAGGAAAGAAGCTCCCCAGGACAGCCCAGCATCTCCACAGCTGAGAGAGCCACCTGTGGCACCTGTCAGGCACCTCTGCATCAGGAGTTTAGCAAATCCTGCCCGGAGTCCTCCAGTTCATCCTCTCTGGCATCTTGCACCGCAGCCTCCTTACCCCATCGTAACCCACTGCTCACCATCGAGCTCTCATCAACAAAATGCTGTGTCTCCATCTCACCCCACTGCTTGTGCTGGTGCTGGGGGTCAGCCTGGGGGCTGCCTTTCCCCACAACAGCCTGAGGAAGGGCTGCAGCCTGTTCAAGTACAAGCAAGTCACATTCGATGAGAAGAAGGCTGTGAAGAAGATGCAGAAGGAGTTTGTGAGTATCACTGGCAATGGGGGCTGTGGGCTGGGGAGGGGGGGCAAGGCAGAGGAGATGCTGAATTTGAGACCTGAGTGACAAACTGGATGTTTTCTGCAGCAGTCTGGGGAGGAGGAGGATGTTTTTCATGGCAGTTTGGGGACATGAAGGATGCTGGGCCAAATTTTGTCCTGGTTTCAAACCACATGGCTGGCGGGGTTGCACAACATCGCCAGAAGTCACAATGACAGTTGTTCAGTCTCTCTCTTGGTTTGTGCCTGCAGCGCAGCATCAGGCAGCCAGGCCGCAACTGCGACACCGGGCTCTTGGATCGGAAGTGGATGTCGGCACACCTGTCGGTAAGAGCACGGTGATGCTGTGACAAGGGGGCACAGCTTTCCTCTCAGCCAGTCCCACCCTCACCTGCACCCCAGGCAGGTCTTTGAGACTCCCCTCCTCCAGCCCTGGCTCTTTGGGTCCCTAACCACACACTCCTGCCACAGGTGCCCGACCGGTGTGCTGGTGAAGCCGAGCTGACTTCACCATCACGATGCTGCAGCTCTCCACCCACCCCGGCTTCACCAAGATGCGCCAGCGGCCCCTGGCCTTCCTCGCCAAAGCCCGTGAGGATCTGCGGGGCTGTGTGAGTGCCCCCCGAGCCCCCCACCCCAGCCAGCTCCATGGGCCCTGGCGTTCTCGCAGCACCGCGGGGCATCGCTGGTCCTTACCCTGCCATTTCCCTTGCAGGTGGCTCCCTCGCATCAGCCCTCTGGGGAACTGAGCCAGTGGCTGCAGAACCTGCAGGTGGCCATGAATATGGTAAGTTGGGTCAGCGGGCCAGGGGGTCTCGGGGTGTCAGCGAGCCCACGGCCGCACCCTGACCCCATTGCTAACGCAGGCGCTGTCCCCGCCGCACGAGAACACCGGCTGCCTGCAGGACTACGCCGTCCGCCACGTCTTTGAAGTGCTGGAGGACCTGAACTGCGCTGCCCTCCAGGAGCAATGCTCTTAGCCCCCGCCACCGGCCCCAAAGGACACCCAAGGACCGGGAAAAACAACGGCTATTGCATTGCTGGACTGTACTTTTCTTACTCATGTGAGCTCAGGGAACAATTTTTTTTCACAGTCTTTTAAATTATTGGGGTTTATTGTGTGCTTATAAGTGGCTCAGGAGGAGCTGAAGAAATGCCCCTCCTGAAAGAATGGCAATGAACATATTTATTGGATATCTTTATTTTGCTAGTTTTCAAAATGTTTTTAAGGAAATCTATTTTTTCACCTGCTATTTATTACAGAGTATATTTTGCATATTTTCCTGTATAAATTATTTTCTTGTATGCCATTTAATAAAATAGATACCATAAGCAGACAAGCTGCCATCGCATTTTTTACTATGCTTTGCTGTAATACAACAGCAGAGGTATTGCACACACATCCTTGCAAGGACATTGTCCAAATGAAACCTCATTCCGTTTAATCTGGGGACAGGGAGGGAGAAATGCCTGGATGTTGGGCTCTTTGGGGAGCTTTAGTAGATTTTATCTCCTGGCCATGCCCCATCTGCTGCCACCTGATGACAGGAGCAGCACCTGAGGCAATGAAAACCCATCAGGAGGGAAATGCCCTTGGGCCAACACTACAGACAGGCAGGGAAAGCCCCAGAGGTGTGTCTGGAATTGCACATGGACTCCTGGATTTGGTTACAGTGAGGCACAGCTAATCTCTCAAAAACAGCTGCACCAGTGTTTTGCCTGTGTGGCCACAGATTCCCAGGAACAGGAGGATGCCATCAGTGCCTGTTTGGGATCCAATCCCCTGACCCTGCTCGCTATTTGACCCCTCGGTTTTGAAGTCTTGCAAGAAATCCCATTCTCTGGAGCCTATGTATAGTCAACATCTGGCAGGGGAGGTTGTTTCTAGAATATTTCTGGACTAAAGTGCTGTGCTGTGATAGCCAAACAATACATGGATCTGGAGAGAAAAGCCTAAGGAGGCAAGATGGTGTTTATTCATCCTCCAAAATAGATGTATTTAGGTTGTCCTGCTCTCACTGAGGTATCTATCAAGGCATTGTTCCTTTTGCCAGGCAAAGGCTGTAGGCTGTAGTGATGGGGCAGCCAGGCTCCTCAGGAGCTGGGAGCAGGAGTGGTGGGGACAGCTGGGAAGTGCAGCTGGCCAGCATTAGCCTAATGCCCCTGCCAGCTTTTTGTAGCTCAGGGTAAGTCCTCTGTTTTTCCTGGAGGGTGACTGGAGGTGGGCAAGGAGCACTTTAGCTTTCCCTGCAGACTCACAGAAGGAGTGCCAGGAGGGAAATACTGGGGAGTCAGAGCACTAAGCCAATTTAAGGCCTCTGAGTACGGATTCTATGCTGGTTTAACTAGATTTCAGTCAGCAAAATTCCAATTTCTTTTTGGGGAGGAGGTGGTGGTATCATTCCAGTGAAGGTTTAGGACACAGTGAGTATTTCAACAGCTGTCAGCCAAACATTCCTTGTGTTCGGTCTCCAGCTTTGCCTTATCACACCTTCTAACCTGGGTGCTGCTTTCATGCCTGGTTCCCTTATTTAATGGAAGTCACCAAATGGAAGAATTTAACTTTATGCACCTATTTTACAGGTGGAGGGGGCTGATCTAACACAATTGTTTAAGTTTCTAAAGATTTTGGTCGGTCTATTTATGATACCCAGGTAATTCACTCTCAATTACTAAATGTGCTCTTATGATCATTTTTTTACAGAGATTTCATCTGATTCAATGTTGCTCCCATTTGATTCACTATTGCTTCCATTAATCTGCTGCTGGAATGCACAAATAGTCTATTAATTTAAGCAGGCACTAAGGCAATGGTTGCAGCAAGCCTGGTTATGTTCCACTTGTGAAACCACCCTGACAGTTGTTGTTTTTTTCCCTTCTTGCTGTGTTGCTATTTGCCACAGACTCAGTGTAATTTATATTGTAACTGAATCACCGCCTTTTCCGCAGCTCTATGAGGGAACTATAAAATAATGGAATGTATTGGAATGGGCTGCCCAGGGAGGTGGCGGAGTCACCATTCCCTGGAGGTTTTTAAGGAAAGACTGGACGTCTAGGTGACACGGTGGTGTTGGGTCGTAGGTTGGACTCGATCATCTCACAGGTTTGGGGTTTTTTTTTTCCAACGTATTTGATTCTGTGATCCCAAATCTTCATTCGCGAAGCCTAGCCATGATGATGATGATTCTGTGATTCTGCTTACAAAAGGTGAGAAAATTGAGCCTGGGGACACATAACTCAGTCGGAAGACCTCAACTCCCCTCGGGGCACTGGGACACACCGCTCCCGCTGCCCCTGAGGGGGCGACCCAACATGGCGCCGCCCTCCCGGCGGACAGTGGCCGCCCAGCGCCGCCGCCACCGCCGCCAAATCTCGCGAGAACCCCGCGGGCGCACTGCCCGGCCCTACCTCGCTCTCGCGAGATCTCCGCTGAGGGAGGGAGGGAGGAGGAGGAGGGGAGGGAGAAGAAGGGAGAGAAGGAGGAGGAGGAAGAGGAAGAAAGAGTCCGAAGGAGCTGCCGCTCCTGCCCGGGCCGGCGCCGGGGATGGTGTTGGCCGCGGCAGCCGGGCCCTGACGCCGCGCTCAGGTACGTGCGAGCCGTCCCCCTTCCCTCAGCCCTCCCCGCCCGGGCCTGGCCCCTCCCGGCGCCCCCACAACTCCCGGGGCGGTCCCGGCCCGCCGGGCCTCGGGGCACACTTGTGTCCCCCGGCCCAGCTCTCCCGGCCCTCGGAACCCAGCGATCCCCCTGCCTCTGCGGAGGGGCTCCCGGGCCGCCGCTGCCTCCGCTCCCGGCGGAGCTGGGGAACTCCCGGGGCTCTTGCGCCCTTCCCTATAAATAAGCAGTCTCCCCTCCCTGGCCTGTTTCTCCGGGGTCTGCAGCGGGGAAGCTTTGCTTGAACTGTTGGGGGCTTCCTTGCCGTGCTCCGCTGGAATTTGGGGTATAGTTGAAGCGAATGATTTCTTTTTCACAGTGATCACGCTTCTCTTGGGTTTCCCGGTTTTCCGGGACAAGCTATAAAGATATTTGGACATTTAATGCCTGTCGGAATTGATTTAATTTGGAATTGGCACCTAAACGATGGGGGTTTTTTGGAGTGGAGAGGTTGCCGGCAATTTACAGATTTATTTCTTTTCATGTAGAACGCCGTTCAGTACTTCCCAGGCTCCCCTACTCCCCTCCCCTTTTTTTTTTTTTTTTTAAGCAGCTGTTGGTTTTCCCTCCTCCAAAGAAAAAAAGATCTGTGTTCTCTGCTTATTCTTCCTTTCTCTGGGGTAGCAGGATGAAAAAGCTTACTGTATGTTTCAGTTGAGCCAGCTGGATTTTACATTTACACCCTAACGTTACTTTTGTTTTTAAATATATTTTGCAGCTGACACACACATTTGTCAGCTCCAGAGAACTTGACCTCCTTGTAGATCTCACCAGAGTTTCATACTGTTAGGGACTATTGTGAAATATATGTTTTCCTTTTTTTAAGTCTTTTTGCTCAGTTATCTATTATGTGTTTCTCAACCCCCAGGTAAGGATTATACCGTGACTTTTTGCAATTTTTCCCCTTTATTTGGTTGAATTAATTAATATGATTTAAAGGATAAACATTTCTCCTACCATTTTAGTGGCAGTGGGGCCTGAAGGGTTTAGATCTTGTCAGCATTATGTTGGTTTTGCCAAACTTAAGAAGAATGAGTTGCCTTCAACTAAGAATAGTTACAAAATGTATTAAGCCATGACAGACTGGATGCTTTGGTTTAATGACTTTGGCATTCTGTCCACCTTTTATTGTAATTATTTATCATTGCAGTTATCTTCTAGAGTGGCTGGGTAACACAGCAAAAGTGTATCTTTATTTCACTTATTGAGTCTCAGAACTTTTTACACTGTGGAGAGTTCCTGTTGTGCAGCTGCGTGGATCATTGCACTGTTTGCAGCTTAAGTCTTTTTTCTGTGTCCTGGGAGCTGCCTCAGAGCTTGCTTCCCAGGGTTAGAGAACAGTTCCAGTGATCCCTCCCCTTTCTCTTTGTTATTTCTTATATTTTGGCCAACTGAAAAGCGGCTCTGAACACTGTCCTGGGAGGTGTGGATGAGGAGGCTGTAGCAGACTGTCTGGCAGGGGTATTTCCACAGCAGCTCTTAGGAAGGAGCAGTGTCAAGCAGTGAAATTGCATTGTGAACACTGATGTAAGCCTGACCTTTCTCCCCCTGCAAAACTGAGCTTCCCCTTGGCCTAACAAACTGTAGCTCTTTCAGTATTCGCAGCCCAAACAAAATCTTTCTCTGAGCCATCCTCATCTTTAATCCCAGTTGTGTGAGCTGTGTGCAGCGTACTCTGTGTTTGACTGCTGAGAGAGAATGTGATGGAAGTTCGCTCCTTATTCAACAGCTGTGAGTTGTTTTCATGCTGCACCCCCAGTGCTTCGTTTCTGGTGATGGGCTTTGCTCTCCCTCTGTGTTCCAGGTGGAAGCAGCAGGAATGCTAACACTGGCAAGCAAGCTGAAGCGGGATGATGGTGTCAGAGGACCCCGTGCGTCCAACCCGGCGTCGGACTCTACTCGGAGGGTGTCTGTGCGGGATAAATTGCTTGTTAAAGGTGAAAGGGACTTGTACTGAAATATTTTGGGGGTTACGGTTTGTGGGTGTGGTGCCAGTAAACAACACTAAATTGCACAGGAATTTCCAGAGGTGTTTTTGAAATGGCTTGTGACTTACCTCAGGTGATGTGACTTACCTCAGGATTGCTGCTGTAGGGTGTACATTGACATACATCTCATCTCCAGCAGCTCTTTGCCTGTAGGACACTTGTTTTCATTGAATAGTGAAAACCAAGACAAGTGTCCTCCTTACTCTGCTGAAAAATTGACACATTATAAGGAGCTCTGTCATCAATTAAAACGTGATAAAAATTGCCACATGAGTATCTAAACATGTAGGAGGAGAATATCAGCAATAGTATATTTGTCTTGATAGGAAGGTGTTTTTTGAGCAAAAACATAACTGCCTGTGACAGGAAAAAACATCCTAAGGGTAACAGCAGTGTTCCAGAGGTCTTTAATGGTACAGGTCATAGGCAGCAAAGTTTAAAAAAAGCAAGGCAGGGAGATATTTTTGTAGGCCTGGAGTCTCTAGAAGTTAAGGATGAAGCTGTGAGTTAAAAAAAACCAGTGCTCGTTTTTGTATTGCAGTAGGGTTTGTTCTAGGAGGGCTGCTGTAGGTTGTTACTGGTGGGGAAAAAAGCTCCAGACTTTCACTTTGTGGCAGTTCTGGATAAATGGGGTATAATTAAATAATTAAACTGTTTTATAGTGAAATCAGGGGCAGCTCTTTTTTGTACCTAATTTTTTTTTTCCTGTAACGTAGACAATATTAAAAATCCGTAGGTGCTGACACTTTGCAGTTACTGTGGCCTTAAACTCAGATTTACTCCCTCTGGTAGTAGTTGAGTGTTTTAATGCTCGAGCCGTGCAATGCTCTAGTGGCAAGGAGTGTATTGTTTAGGTGGATGTTTCTGCTAAAAATGATCAATAGCAAATATACTGCTGTTGATGTGTAAGCTGCCACTATTAGGGTTTGTGCCAGTCACAGGAAACTCACATTTCCTGGTCTTGTTTTAGAATGATTTGAGACTGACAAGGGTGTATTTACCTGACTGGTATTACCTAACTAGCATTGCCTATGTTGTTTTTTTTCAAATTAGGGTAAATTCTGTCATGTGACTTTGCTGGAGCAAGGTGTCACTGCAAATGCTGCTGCCTCAGTGCCCTGGGAAGTGCCACAGGTAGACTATAGCAATGGTATATTCACCATTTTTTCTCTGTACAGTTGTAAGGACAGGGACTTTTAATAACTCTGATGTGATCGTTCTTGAAAAGAAATTGCTTTAGACTTCCAGTTTGGAAATCCTTAGTGAACTTCAGTTCTGAGGGAGGAAGATTCAGGTAGAAGAAATAAGCTCTTTAACCAGGCTAAGCTACAAAGCCAAATGACTAAATAATCTGAGATTTTTGCTAAACCTACAGGTATAGACTCGAGAGGAAGAGAGCAGTGCAATATAAATGCACTTCCAACTGCAATGATTGGTGTAGTGTGAGGTGCCATAAGACATTTTACTGTACCCTTAGAGCAGTCATGTTTTTCATTTTTAGAGCTAAAACCTTCCCAAAGTCTGCAGGGAGGAAGAGAACATGAGCTATAGAAAATTAGTATTGACACTGTAATTGCTATGGCTGCATTAGCAAACCAGCACAGACTTGAGTATTGAACGAGCTGAGTCCCAAACTGACAAATGGTGAAAGCAGGTCACTGCTCATGTGCCTCTGACAAGTGCTGGGTGCTGGATCCTCCTCTGATTGTGCATGGAAGTTGTATCCCTGCTGTGGAATGTGTGGCTTATGCCACTTAAAGAGTCACTGTCAAAGGTACAGTGAAAACGTCCTTAAATATAAATTTGCAGAAGAAGTTTGGGAAGGTTTCTGCTGCTTCTTACTGCTTGGATAATGCATATAAAGGGAAATCAAGTTAGAATCAATTAAGAGTTATTTCTGCAGAGGCTGGAATGGAAAGAGTGAAGGGGGCAAGGAGACCCTTAGTTGAGTCAGTTGAGTCATGAGATTCAGAGTGAACCCCCTTTCATTCTGGACTCCTTTTCAGGGATGAGTCTCAGTGTGGCTGGGTCCAGTATTAGGGTTGGACTCAGTCAACAGTTTGTCTAAAGAATTTAGCAGCGCTTAATCATAAAAGCACTTAAATATTGGACTAATCACTAACCAACTGTAAACATAACAATATTCTAGATTCAAGATAATAACATGTATAGTATGTTATGGGGTGTTCAAGTCAATACACAGATACACAAAGATACAGAGAGAGAGGGACAAATGTGTAAAGGTAACACACACACGTATGGATATGTGTGCCTACAAGTATATTCCTATTGAAAAATTCCCCTCCAGAATCAGTGAAATACTCATGTTTAATGCCTTTTTGGGCACTACTGGAGTTGTCTGTCGTTCGAGTGAGGAGGATACCATTTCACTTGGACTATGATTCAGATAAGGAATGTTCCGAAGCTGGGGATGACTGATTGGTCATCCTCCTCTCAGCTCCCACCTTGTTGAGGCAGCAGGAGTTCCTGGTATGGTCAGTGCTGCTCCCACCTTGGCCTGGCAAGAGTTCCTAGAAGAGTTAAGGAATGCTTCACCACTGAGCTCTTGTGCAAAGGCCAAGGCCTGACAAGAGTTACTGAAATTGTAGAGCAGGCCAGAGGTAGGGCGGGGAGGGGAGGGTCTCCCAGTCCTGATGCTCTCCCAGAAGAATTGTAGGAACAACTGTCAGTGTGTTAGAATGGTTTCTGGACTCAAATGGGAACTGACAGTAGAAGCAGATCATCTTAGTACAACTCCACTGAAAGTGAGAGGGAAATTCAGTAGCTAGTGTGAAAGATTTATTGGGGATATTCTCTTTTAAGCTGCTTTTAGCTAAACGTGGACCATTTGTCTACAAAGTTTCTAGAATTTGCTCCAGCACTTTAAGATAGACCAACTGCAGCAGCATCTACGATGTTGAGAGGCTGAGGGAAGGTGAACTTGTGATGCTGACAGTGTTTTTAGGTCACATAAAGATGTGCAGGAATGAGTTTGGTAGGGAGGGCAGAGCTGTCTGCTCAAGGTGTGCATACAGCAGTGATACTCTGCATCTAGACTAGCACCAGTGCCTTTTATTGCCTGATTGTCTGGAACTGTAGTAGCCCAGCTGCACTTCAGGCTGCTGTTTTGCATCAACAAAGTTACAGGAGCCTGGAAGAGTAGCTGTAAGTACAAGTTGTTACTGGTGAGTGTTTAGGCCGGAGTTACCAAACAAACAGATGACAGTTGCAGAATGGGTGAAAGTCTCAATCAGTCTCCTGGCAATGGTGAATTAAAAAATAATCTGTTCTACATAAAAGAAGAGAAATCCTGGCTATCAGCAAGGGAAGAGGAGGAGATGAGAAGAGGCCCAAAGTGTTCTGTCAGCAGTGAAGCACCACTGTCCTATTCTTGATCCACAGTAAATTGGTGATAGTCTAATAAATTCTGCAGACAGATGCCTGCCAGCTTTGCTCGGGGTATTGTCCAGACACAGACAGTGGCTGGTTTTTCTCTGGAGTTAAGTTAAAGACAGCCTTGTTTGTGTTGATAGAGTCCAGTCCAGGAGGGCAGTGTGGGATCTCTTTGGAGGATGTGCTGTCATGCTGACAACCTTGCAGTGCTCAAATGTGTTGTGTGCAGAGACTGGTAAATAGATCAATGCCATTTGATGAAGGGTAGATGGCCATGACCCAGCCCCTGTTAGTGTTGATGATGCTTGCAAACCTTCAAAAATCTGGCACAGACCAACTCCATGCTGCCTTAAGGTAGGAAGAATAAGTAATAATTTAGGTATGATGTTGGCTGTTTGTACCATATGGATGTGAAGAAAATCTCAGTCAGCATCTGAAATAGTGTTGCCCGGTGCTGTCCTTGACTTTAGTGATGGCCTCAAGTTAAACAGGCTTTTTTACACTTCTGTGAAAAAGCTACTCTTAAAATACTGGCACCCTTTGTTAGTTTTTCTAAGCCAGTCCTTTGATTTTTGTCCAGTGTTGTGTTATATTCAGTTATCAATCACGGCTCAGGGCACTTGCTTTGTTGAGTTATTTCATGGGCATATTATGAATGGAAATATCTCTATTCTTAAAGTTTTGTTTAGGGAAGTAATTCTGAGGCAGCTGATTATTCTCTTCCAGCTGTTTTTCCTCTGGAGTGTTAAAATTGTGGCTGCTAAACAGGATTTGGCAGCAGCCTGTCCCCTGCAGGCTAACGGAGCACGTTTGGGAGTAGAGCAGGGCACATATGTCTGTGATGTGGAGTGTGCTGCTGGTTCTGATCTGAAACCCTGGGAAGGCACAGGAAAACATCCACCAGTTGGGAATCACTGAGGGCACGGGTTTCTGAGGGCGTGGGGGGGCAAGGACTGGTAATTCAAGCTGCCAGGTCATGGAGAGAGGCTTTGTGGCCCAGGACAGAGGGGTCTGGAGAGAGACCAAGCAGTGGCTAACATGTTTCAAGACAAGTCAAGTGGAGGACATGCAAACAACTGCAGAAGACAGAAAGCAAATGCTGATGAGAGGAAGAGGAGCAGACAGAAATGGTGCTTGAAGGGGCTCTGCTGCCTCTCTCACCTGGGAGAGAGGCTCTAACAAGGCACACCTTTGTTGAAAGTTCAGCGTGACTTATCTGTACGTCTCTTTTCACTGGGTTTTCCATATGGGCCCTGTGGGAGAGTAAGGCCTTAATTCTATAGACCTAGTACCCAAGTTAAAATAGAGCAAGCAGTTCACTTGCTTTAGCACCTTTCATTTTGTTCTGTGCTGCAGAGACAATTTTTGATGTTCTATTCATCTCTAAGGGGCACTTCATTAAGTTGAGAACAGGGGCCACATGACTGCTCCTCCAGGATGCTGAGAATGCAGTGCTGAACTTGAAAGGCAGATCCTTTCTGGAAATTTGAAAGAGACTGAGGACAAGCCAAAGTGGTATTTAAAATTAATATTGTGTAATGAAGGTGACTACGAAATTGAATTCAAGATAGAGAGTGTGCCAGGGTGGCAGGAGTAGTAATGCATGTGTGCTTATGGATCACAAAGGTTGTCCCTTAAGCTGTGGTTTTTGTAGTGCACCTGAACATCATCATTCAGTTTTAAATTATCAGTACTGTGACAGTTGGAAATTACTTAATATATAAGAAAATGAGTTAACGTGTTTTACTCCTCAGTTGTTTTCAGCATCTGTGGCTTTTCCAGCAGATTTCTGTAGTTGGAAAATGTTTCAGGTGTGCCTTCGTGTATAAGCCTGAGAGAATGGAAGTGGGAAGCTGATTATGAAAGTGAGTTTCATGTGCATTGAAACTAAAAATGAGGAGAATCCATGTATTTGCTTTCTTCAAACTATGAAAATTGAAGCTAATTTGAGAAGTTATTACTGAGACATTTTTCCAGGGCTTTGCTGACAAAGGGAGGTGCAAGGCATTGCTTCACTTATGCCTCAGGTTTTCAGCACACCTGAAATATGAAGTGATATATTGCAGACTTGGAGATTTCCAACCACAGTGGCTTTTGGTAGTTTTTGATGTCAGGATAATAAGCTTTGTTATAGCTTATGGAAGCTGAAGGTGTGATTTGATAGTGTCTTGTTTAAAATAAACATTTGGAAGCAGAAGGAGAATATACATCTTTTGCTCTATTGAAAAACTGGTGATATTAGTTGGCTTGTTTGACTTCTAATACTGGTCTGTGCAGTTCAGAGGAGCTAAGTAAGGAAAGCTATAAAGAGAGGTGAGAATTAGGAGGCATAGACCTGTAACAGGGCAGGAGTGTGCTCCTATTTCTGTCTTGAGAACTGTCAGGGGTAGGGAGAGTTATTGTTTGTGAAGTCATTTATAAATAGCTCTGGTTGCTTGTGTTAGGCTTAGCTTTTCTCTCTTCTGTAAAGTTCCTAGGCTGCTTCTGAGGCATAATCAGTTTGCATTCAACTCTTCCAAAGTTTGTGGTAGGTTTAACTTTAAGCCTTGCTTTTTTATTCTTTTTATGGTTTCAAATAGCATTTGGAACTGTTCAAGCAAGGGCATAGTGGGGCAAGAGCAGGACTCTGCAAGGATACCACTGAGGTGTGCTTCTGCACCAGATCACAGGGGGTTTTAAGAACACCAGACTGGCTGTTTGGGAGCTAATGATACTTCCTGAGACTTGGATTTTCTGGTTGGTTGTTTCATCTTAATGGTGTGAATTGAGACACAGATACTGATTTTCCACAAAATGACTGTGAAATGTAGTCAAGTTGAATTTTCTTTTCTGTTTATCTGTAGTGACAGTCATTTTTTGAAAGAGGAGGTCAGAAAAATTGTGATCTTAAGTTTATTCTTTAATTTAGTGAGGCTTTTTGAGCTCTTGGAAGTTCAGTGCATTGGAGCTCTAATTGTCACTTCCATGCTTTGCTTATTTACAGATCTGTTTAATAACTTGGCAGCCTGCACAAGGGGAGACTTCTTACAGAGAATGCTCTTGCCAAGGGTGTTGCTTTATGTAGAAAATGCATGACTTAAAACATCAGAATCTTAATGGGGTTTGAATGATGTGGCCAAAATATTTGCTTTTTGAGCAGCGACATACAAAAACGGTTTCTGTGTCATGACTGTCACTATCAAAGAGTCATAGAATTTGGAAAACTCACAAACACTGTAGCTTTGGCCCATTAAATGTGCATCTTAATTGGTTAATTACCAATGTTTATGTATATTTATATGGCACAGTTAATAGTAACATCTGTTGCCTTACTTGATACTACTTTAAACATTCAGGTTATTGAAGCAGGTCTTTACCTGCATTTCTGTCTTTATGAAGTTGTTGCATTCTTAGTTTGTGGTTTGTTGCAGAGGGGGTTAGAAACCTTGATTTTGGAGGACTTGCTTTTGTGTGGATTAATTAGCATAGCATTCCCACCTGTTTACACTCCTGTAAAGAAAGAGGGAGCTGTTCTCTTCTCCCAGGTGTAAGCATTTTGTTTTCATGTTTCCAGAAGAAAACCCAGTCATTCTTGTACCAGGACAGAGGGAAACACAGAAGTGTGAACCCATTACAGGAAACTTCCACACTTCAAAGGAATTATGGTGACAGTAAACTCTCTGAACCTCGCAGGAGGCAGAAGTGAGGCCTTGGCTCAGCAGAGCTGCTGCAGCTCAGCCACTGCTGGGACTCAATCTGCTCTGTCCTTGGGTGTCTCCCTTTTTTCACCATCGAAGCAAAGGGCAGGCAGGATTCATTAAGCTGAACAACACACAAGCAGAGAAAGCAATAAGGAAAGCAGTCAACACCTTCAAATAAGAGCCAGGTCCTAACCTTTAGCCTGTAGTGAAGGTTGGTAGTGCCTCCCACTATGACAGGCTGGTGAATTTAAAGAGAAAGAAAGGTTTGTATAACTGCAGCCTTCAGTTGTTGGTTGTCGTGTCTTCTTTTATCAATCAGGATGGAAAAGTAAAGATAAAGCCCTTGATTATAGCTGAAATTAGATTTATTTTTTTTTTATATTGTGAAGACAGTACTCTTTCAAAACTTCTATCAAAAGTATGGCCCCAGCACTGGGTGTCTTTTGGTGCACAGCTTTGTTAAATCAGCTCGGGCTGCTCCAGTGTGGCATTTTAAAGAGCGCAGTCGTGAACTTTTTAGGGAAGTGTGAAACATTGCTTCTCTTTTGGTGGTATTTTTCTCTTGGTGTTGTAGGCTGCAGGGACACCAGGGCTGTGCCAGGCAAAAGGGAGGTGGAAGTCAAATAACTATCATGCCCCCTGCAGAGACCAGCCAGGTTCGGTAAGCATGGATGCAGAAAAAGTTCTGGAGAGTTATTGTGATGAGCAGTTTGGATTCAGTGCCAAAAAATCTGAATTACAGTTTTCTTTACATGTATGTTTTTGAGAGTTAGTACTGAAATCCCTTACACGTTGTTAGCCCAAATAAATGGTCTGTCTCTCTGCAGGCCTGAAAGCAAAGTTAGAAGTGGAAAAGAAAGACTACAGGAAGTGCAAAAAATAGATTTGATGAGATTTTCTAGAACTCTATAAGTGAAAGGGGGAGGTATCTTCATGCATCTCATTCATACTTCTGTGAAATACAGGTAGTTGAGATTAAGACTTCAATAAAATACACAAAAGAGAGACAAAGCAGGGGCTCTTCCAGAGAAGGTAACTTGACAGGAAAAGGTCTGAGGGGCTATGCAACTGAATTAGGTTGCTTCCTTTCTTTTAATAATTACTTTTAAGCTTTATTCTTGGGAAATAAATAAAAAGAAATTTTAATTGAGCAGGAGTGTGTATGTATATATAGCAGACTGTGCTTTGGAAATGCCAGTGCTCTGTGTGTGAGCAGCCCTGGCAGAGCTGAAGTCCCCATCACAGTAGGATGTGTTTGCAGCATCTTTGGGGCAGGTTTCTAGTAACAAATTGAGTGGCTTAAAGAGGAATTTCAAGGTAAACTTCCACTGCAGCTTAATTATATTTTTAGGTAAAATTGGATTTACAGGGCGGTTTCAATTAGATCTGCCAATCTGGACTTCAAGAATGGCTTTATGCTTGTATAAATAATGTATTGTTTTGTTTTTTTTTTTCTTTCAACAGAGGTTGCAGAGCTTGAAGCTAATTTACCTTGTAAGTATAGCATTTAATGGTATGCATTTTAAGGGGAAAAGGACCATTGAACTGAATGTTTTTACTGAAGTATGAATGCTAATGATATTTGTTAACTTTAGGGAAACCTGTGCAAAACTCCACCACTTGAGCTTGAACAGGTTTTCTTTGTTGCTCCCTCTTAAGGGGTTGTAGAGAGGTGGACCCTCATTATTGTCCTTTGGAAGGAGAATTGATAATTCGCCTCCAGAATTTGATTGTTGGGGAGTGGAAGCTTAACTTCCATAAAACACCCAAAAGGTTTGTGGGACTGAAGGGTGCATTTGTTGCCTCACACCTGTTTTTCCTCCATTCTCTCCTTTCCAAAACAGGAGATTCTGATTTAGGGGCAAAGAAAAATAGCTCAGTTCTCAGGAAATGTATTAAGTTAACCTGCTGTTTCTCTGCATCACATGCAAGATGTAACCCGATATGTTTGTTAATAGTGAACATACTAAAGAAAATTAGTTTTGCAAAATTGATCCATATTCCTTAAAACAAAAAAGGCAAATTAATGTGGTTTTAGCTCTGGAGTCTTACTTATGATATAAGCAATAAACAGCTGAAAATATTAATGGCTACTTTAAAATAGGCTTTAAGTGGGTAAGTGGCTTGTGGCTTCTAAAGCTTAGAAAGCCTAGTTCTGCGAAGGGCAGCAAAACACAAAGCACTTTTACAAGAGGAGTAGAGTTCCTCCTGCTCTGTATTTGTTGCTCAGGGTGGGTGTTGGCAGCAAAGCCAAGTTGTTGCTGAGCTCTTTGCTTCAGGTATTGGCCAGAACAGCATCATTCTGCCATGAGCTCTTAGAGCACAGGCAAGCACAGCACGTTACTGCCTGGTGAGCTCAGAGGGACGTTCAGAGCTCATCACTGGCCCTGCATAGCTTCCTGTGGTGCACATTCCTCTCTGTCATCTCAGACGTTTTGCTGCAGGGAAGGAGGTGTGAGTTGTGTGCAGTGGGCTGAGAGTGTATGTGCAGGTGGTTCCTGTGCTGTGCATCCATACTGACTTGTCCATATGCTTATCCTGCAAAGAAAAGCGGTGAATGTTTGAAGGATTATGTTTGAAGCTTTGACTATATTTTTTTCTCTCCAGGTTAAACTTCTGAGTGCTGGTTGTGATGAGCATCTGCTATTTGCTGATGATTCTAAATCCAGATAAATGCTCAGATTTAAAAAGTCAGGCTTTTCAGTATACAGACTGCCTGATGGGAGGAAAAATGCAGAACAGAAACAGGAAAAAGGGAGGGCAGGAAGAGGCATTATTTTAACTCTTCCTTTCTGTATGCTCTTCTTTCTTAAAGGTGATTACAGAGAATTTACACAGTAATTTTTATTTTGGGTAAACTTTTTTCTGTAGATTCTTCTATAGGATGACAAGCACATGGGAAATGTGTATTTTTAGTTACTACAATGTGAGTGCATTACTAGGGCTTCTGCACAGTTCTAGTTGATTTTTTTCAGGCAAATAAGGTTTATGTCTCTGATACTGTTTAGCTCCTTGACTACAGGAAAAGAACAACCAGCTTGATGGGTTAAGAAGCTAAGGACTACCCAGGGTGGATAGCAACATATCTGTGGATATACATATCTTCTCGTGCCAGCTTGACAGCTTGTCTCTGCCACAGTCATGAAAGGCCAGTTTTGTGCATGGGAAAGCAACTTGGTTTCATAGAATCAGCTGGGTTGGAAGGGGCCTCTGAGATCATCAAATCCAACCCTTGATCCACTACTGCCGTGGTTACTTGTTTGTGTCATCAAATGCAAACAAAGGGCTGTTATGCTGTGAACTGAAACTATTTTCCCCCATACTTGTTCTTCATTCTCACTGTTCTCATTACATTCATCTCTTCTGAGAATAAACCCATCGTGTTTGGTTTATGCTGCCCCATAACCTCTGCTGTTAAAGCACATAGTTGGTTATGCAGCAGAAACTTGTACAATGTGGCAGCTGAACAGAGACTCGCTGGCATTTGGATGAGGCTTTCAGGAAAGCTTGTATCTCATTGTACCTTAAAGGTGTTAATAATCCCCTGTCACCACATCTCCCTGTGGTGACTTCATGCAGGTCACAGTGTGTGATCAAATGTTAATACACAGATTATTATTAATAATGTTACAGAAGCTTGGAAGGCAGAGATGCTCCTCTGCATGCTGTCACCTTCACATGTAGCTACTATGCAGGAGAGCAAATCCTTTGGATTTTTAAGACCTTTGAGACAGTATGGTTTGCTGAAAGGGAATGACCTTCTTCTTTACAGCTGAAAGAAGTAGAATTTCCAGGTGACTCATAACTATTGTATAGAGTGGAGATGCTCAAAGTGTAGGAGGAAATCACTTGACTGAAAGGTGGGGATTAATGAGAGAGGCAATTTGAAGAGTATAAAGGATGATACACTTGCTTTCCCAAGAGTGGAGAACTAATTGTCTGATGTAAATTATTCTTTTGCTTCACAGGTACATGTAAAGTGAATTTTCCTGACCCAAACAAGCTTCATTACTTTCAGCTAACTGTAACCCCAGGTAATTTTTTAAAGCACATTATTTTTCTTCGTGTTGGTGTTTAGGAAACTAATTCCAAGAGATTGCTTGGACTCCAGTAAAGTTTCTACTCAAAGATTGGTTATAATACAGTGATTATTTTGTTAGTGGGATGGAGAAACTGGGCTGGACTTTGACAATCAGATTCCAATAAAAAGACCATTAAAATTGAGAATGTTTAGGAAATATTCAAATCTTGTTTGCTTACTTTGATTGAAAGCTTTTTTTTTTTTTTCTCTCAGCCAGTTTCAAACCATCTTGTTTTATTTGCTGAGAAAAATCTTGGTCTGTGTCTGGACAAGTTATTGTATTACAGCCCTGTTATGTGCATGTGTAGTGTGTTCTACTAATTGCTTGATTCTGCAGAGGTGAAGAGATAGGTGACACATCACTGGTGGAAATGTTCAAATCTGTGCATGAGTGAAGATGCTTAATGAGTAGGGGTCTTAGTCTTTGAATATTCAAGTATGAGAAGGATCTTTTACTATTAATACAATTGTACTGTGAAGCTCCTGCTGGCACGCTGGTCAATGGAAACATTTTCAGAATTTATAATTTCCACCAAATTGTCTTAATAGCCACCTGACATTACAGAGTTTGCTCACATAGCTGTCCATTTTAGAATAAAAAGTTGTGTTTTATGGATGAATTTGCTTTTGGAATATTATTTAAATTTCACGTGCGCTTGGTTATGTTTGAGACTGTGCAAGGGCTTAACTGAGGACATTGCCATGTGCAGTACACTGAGCTGTTTGAGTTAGATGTGCTGGGATTGGTGTCTCCCTGCCAACTGATCCTCCCAAATACATGTTTTCTGTATTTGACAACAGCACTTGGGTGAGCTGTCAGTCATGCAGATGTATTACCTGGAGAAACAGTGGTTTGCACTGATCAGTGTGGTAGGAGCGTCTCTGCTAATCCCGGATTTTGAAGTCAGGGAGGCACTAGATGTCACTGTTGCTGCTTATTAGCCAAAATCGACTGGCCCTTCCTTGAACTAGAAAATCTTGGGTGGTCCTTGTTAACATGTCCATTCATGTGTCTCCTTTTTGTGATGGAAAAGTGAGTGTAATTAAAAATAAATGCAAGTGCTATTCTAGAACTTTTAACCTCTCATTCTGTGAAGATGTGCTCATGTTTACTCAGTGGGTGTTAGTCTGCTTGCACCAAATGTCCTTCAGTTTATATGATACTGCTTTATTATGTTTTGGAAATGAGTTGACTTTACAAGAGCATCATTGTGTGAGTTAGGAATGTCTTGAATGTGAAGCAGTGGTAGCTTCTTCGTGCTGATTCCAAGATGTCTAAATCACAGTACTGGTTTTGTCTGTTCACTGCTGTGCAGCAAGGTGCTGCAGGCAGAGTGTGGTTTTTGTGCTGGCTTCGTTGCTGAAATGATCTTGAAAATGAGATGGTCTTAATTAACATTTTGTTACTCTAAATATAGCTGCACAGCTGAAGTCTCTGCAGTTGCAGTCTGACCCCAAGTAAACATCTATTTTCAGCTGTGCATAATTCAGGTATAGAATCTTGTGATCAGCTGCAGCTCAGCACAGCTCTCTAAAGGCAGAACATAACACAGACCAAGAAAATCTTTGTAGTTTTCTGATTCTCTTAAAGACTGAGGTTTTCTTTACGGTGTGCTAAATCTTAGTTTCCTCTGGGATAGCAAAGAGGCAGCTAAGTGGTTGTCAGAGAATTTTTACAGCTCAAGTGGGCTCGAGCCAACTATTCTTGTAGTGTCTAAACATTATTGGGTGAAACTTGACAGTCTGGAGGAAGAGCCAGTTTTCCTTCTCCTGCCTAGAACTGTCTCTTGCATTTGGAGCTGAGTTACTTCTAGAAATCCTGCTTGTGCTTTTGGCTTTGCAAATCTCCCTGCAGCTTTTTTTGTGGAGCAAGGGCTGTGCTCAGCTAGGGAATATCCAGCACTGCCTTGTGGGTCGCCCTGTTAGGACTGATGAGGTGCATAAACAGGAGTGGGAGCCTGCACAGCAAAGGGCTTCATGGGCTCACTTCTTAAGGCTCTCAGTTTAAGTTCTCTTATTTTCTAACATTAGAGCTTTAAATTCTGCAGTGCACCATCAGTGGAAATATAGTAGTGCCTGCTAGAAAATGGGCAAGCCTTAGATTTTACTGCCGCAGTGGACAAAACTCTGTGTTCCCAAGGCACACACTGCTGGCTTTCTGTGCTGTCTGAAGCTTCTTTTTCCTTTTGTCATCTGAAACAATTGTTCTGTCATTGAAAAATGCCCTTGTGCCACACTTGCCTCTGTTCTTATTTTTCACCAGTACCACATTGGATTAAAATCTAGGGAAAATAAGGAGATATATGCTTGTAACACAGGCAGAGTCCTGCCTGCTGCACTGATATTTGGAGCACAAAATTGGAAGCTGAGACTAAAACATGGTAATGACCTGGAAAAAAGTAAAGGAGGTGAGTTTAGGTGGCTTACACATGAAGAACACTAGAAGAGTGTGTGTGGTTAATGCAATTTTCCTGCAGTTCCCAGGCAGCTGGAGCAGTGTAGGGTTAGTGTAGTTATTTTAGAGTCCCATTCTGGGGGGATTAATAAAGAGCCTGTTTTCTGGTTTGCATGCCGTAGAATGAGAAATGTCTGTGAGCATGGCTGAGCATTTCAATGCTGCTGGTTCAAGGAGCAGCTATCCCAAGTGCATTCTTTGTGGCCTGTCCTAATTATCTTGCATTTTCTTTTAATGTGGTGAAATAATTTGGTTTAGTATCTTCCACAGCACTTTCAGGCATCAAAACACCTTACAAATGCAAACTAAGATTAGAGTCTGGTTGTTGGTAATGAAAATTGAGGCTGAAGTGTGTGGGATGCTTGCTCTGCTAATGCAGAGCAAAAAGACAAAAATTTAAGCAGTAGGAGGAAGACTGGAACTCAGATATATTCCCTTTTAGCAAAAGACTCTCAGTGGCTAACTTCCTAAGTTATGTGCTAAAGCTGTTTCAGTTGATGGTTTTATTTATAGCGCTTTCCTCATTGGTAACTCTGCCAGAACTTCAGTTTTTCCCACCACTTCTCTCTGCCTAAGAAAGCTGAGGGTCTTTGTCCCAGTCTGAGAACTTATTTCCTTGCTTGAGATGCCATAAGATGACTTTATCATGAAAGCTTATCCTGTTAATGCAGTGCAAGATTTCTGGCTGAGTACTGAGGCCCTCCAAAGTATGAATTGTTGATACACATTTGAGTGATTGGTAATGAGTAGCTTTATTGGTACTTTGGTGAAAAGATCACTAACATAAAGGGAGAACTGTAAAAGGAGGGAGGAGAGATGCCTTGCTCTCCCAATTGGGTAAATATGTCCTTGCTTATTTTACAACGAGATCAGTAATGTGACCAGTGTAATTTTTGGTTAGTGCTAGCATGGATTGATGTCCAGGTAAAACCAAAACAGAAAATGAGTTGTAAGGCAAGGCACTGATGAGTATTGTATGGTCTTTGAGGGAGACTTGATCTGAAAGGATGTAGAAGTGGCCTGCAGCGTGAGGCACACACAACATGTAAGGTGCTCCAGCTCTTCCAGAGATTTCTCAGCCTTACAGAGAACACGGGAAAACAAATACAAGAAAGCTGAGTTAATAGATGAGGTATCTCTTAGAGCCTGTGGAGGTGTAAATATACAGTTTTGAAAGTGCTTGACCTCACCTAAAATATGTTTTTAAGGAAAACGGGTGTTCTTTCACCATCTGGTCCTGCTGCTTCTATTCTGCTGACACCAGTTACATCCTGCACATGGACACAGGGAGTTTCTCCTGTGACTGGGTGGTATTGGAGCTATCCTGAGCTAGGTCTGCATGGTGGAGAAGGGCAGAGAAAATGAAAACCAACTGTTCAGCTTTTTTTCCCCACCCCATGTGTCTCTTGAGCAGTGTCAGGCTGATCTTGTTGTCTGTGCTCGGAGCCAAGGACGTACCTTGCTGTTCCTGCACTCTGCAGTGGCTGTGGGCCTGGTGTCTCCAGTGTGCAGACCCACGTGGAGCGTGGCTTTGCTTTTGCTGCTTGACTGGCAGGAATCTGACAGTCTTTTGGCCAGCTCTCCTCCCTTGGAGCTGTTCTTGGATGTTTCTTTGGACAGCTGAGGATTCATTAAACCGGAGTATTTACTTTGACATAAGGCACATGTAGATACATCCCTCAGCAGGCATCTATTCCATTTTAGCAGGGGTGCAATGTGAAGAGCTGCAGCACACTTTGCTCCAGGCCCACAAGATCAAGGAACTAGTAAAATTAAGCCAAGGAAAATAACTTTTGTCCTAGGAAATAGTTAGAATTCCTGACAGTTGGTTAAAATGCTATTACAGTGCTGTTATAATGTGCTAGACAGTGGATAAAGTGCTGTTAGCTGTGTTCTGTGGGATAAATGGTGGTGTTTGAGCTCCTAGGGGGTATTAACTCACCTTTCACTTCTCATTCTTCAGTAATGGCTTTCTTTACTGATTTTTATCTCAGTATATATGAAAACAAAAGATACATAGAATCACAGAATCAACCGAGTTGGAAAAGACCTCTGAGATCATCAAGTCCAACCCTTGATCCACTACCACCACATACTTTTATCTTGTTTTTTTTTCCTGTAAAAATCAGTGCATGTCCATTGATTTTCTGGTAAAGCATAATGTACCTGAGCAGGCTGATCAATAAATCCACCACACTTCAAAATTGAATTGGAGTGGAAATGCAGAATGGATTTGAAAAGTGTGTGTTCTGGACAGGTTATTCCAGGGAGATTTGCAGAGGCTGAGGGCTGCAGCTCTGCTGTGCAGCTCAGCGTGGAGGCAGCTGCCAGCAGTGCTGGGTGGGGTGGGGAAGCCAACCATCTTCTTTTTCCATACTCTGAACCTGTCCCAGAGCTCTGGGGAGAAGCTGGGCCGTGATGGACTTCCCAGCTTCAGGCACAGTCCTTTGGAGGGGCGCCCTGGACATAGTGTGCAAGTTGGGGGTGATCTCTGGCAGCATCAGCTTTTACTGGCTCGCCCCTCTCCAGCTGAGGGTTTGCCTTATTGAATAGGATGATGTCCTCTCCTTTTCTGTTGGTCAGCTGCTAAAAGATGGCAAAGAGCAGGAGGGTAGGAACTGACTGTTCTCCTGTGATTATAGCAGTGTGGAGGCTACAGGCTGAAACCAGAGCATGTGGTTGTGGTGCATGGGTTGGTAGGAGAAGACAAAAGATCTGTGTAGGAATGGGGGAGGCAGCAAGTCCAGGAGACAGCATCTGGAAAGAAGATTTTGACCTACAGTAGAGAAGCTAGTTTTTTGTAGTTTGGAACAAGCTGGATAGATTAAAAAGCGTTCCCTTATTTTCTGGAAACTATGGATTTCTTCACAGAACATTCCTTTGCAATGTTGGTTTAAAAAATATAATTCCTACAATGCTAACCAGCCCTCCTGGCCTTCAGGCCTGCACTGTGGCTGGACCGTGTGGTACAGAGAGCGAGAGTACTCAAAGTGGTTTGAGCCTGAGCATTCCTGACATGTCCCAGACCCCCAGAGCTGGGTGTGGGCTAGGTACCTGTTTCCCTTTATTTAATGAAAAGCAGTGGCAGTGCCAGGCAGACATTTCAGATCACTTTGCAAGCATTTCAGCTTCGAAGGACAGCTGCCTCAAGAGTTGCAGGCTGATTGTTACCCGATTATATTATTTCTGGTTCAATGTAACTAGATATTTTAAGATGTCATATTATAAAATGTAGCCATTTTAATAATTCGGTATTGAGTCTGAGATTGACAGAGAGGCAGACATATTTTCCTAGCTGATGTATCATCCTAAGATAATTACAATAAAAGAACCTGCTTGCTCTTTTATTGTAGTGCACTGAAACATGCTCTTGCACACATTATTCATACAGCTCATGATACATGATTGCTAGCATAAGTTTGGGAAGATGTGCAAAGTCCTGGAGCAGGATTTAGCATGCACTAGCAAGTGAAGTATTTCTCCAGCTCATTGCAAGGGTTGGTAAGGTGGTGCTGTGTGCCACATGGCAGGATGTTCTTCATACAGATATGAGAAGCTCAATCCAAGGTTTCTCTAACTTGGTATCACCTGTTACTCTGCTCAGGATGGTGGATTTTTATGGGACTGTTGACACTGACTTCAAATTTCTGCTGTAAAAATGTTGGGAGGGGAGGAAAACACTGCTCACACGCTGTTTGGATTAGGTGGCAGCTAGTGGTGTGGTGTAACTAGGTTAAGTGTTTGATAACCCTCTGCCATTATTTTAGTCTTTGTAGTTTTTTCTTATTTAACTGTTTTCCTTGTTTTTCCTTTTCTAGATGAGGGCTATTACCAAGGTGGAAAGTTTCAGTTTGAAACTGAAGTTCCTGATGCCTACAATATGGTGGTGAGTATTTGTCATTAGTCTAATGGTTGTCAGTTTAGATTTTCTTTCCAGGTGATGGGACTTCAGAGAGAACTTGGCATTGAGACTGAGAAAGGATCTTGTGTCTGTTACTAAAGTACCATGGGTTTATAGAAAAATCTTTGTTGCCTGGAGGTCATCTGAACTCCTGCTCAAATTTGGGCTAGTGTATAAAGCTGGGTTTGGTGGCTCAAGGCCTGGGCCAGTTGGCATTTCAAAATCTCCTAGGATGGAGATCTCACTGCTTCTCTGGGCCTCTGTTCCAGTGCTTAATTACCTTTGTTGTGATTTTTTTTTTTTTTCCTATATCAGGTCAGAATTTTCCTTTTTGTCTGTGGGCCTCTTGCTTTTATCACTGTGCACCTCTAAGAAGAGCCTGACTCAGTCTCCTCTCTACTCTCCCATCAGGTAGTTGCAGACAGCAGTAGGGTCCCTTCAGCCTTCTCTTCTCCAGGCTGAACAAATCCCTGTCCTTGACTCCTTGCCCTGTGTGTGTTAATCCCTCTGGGACCATACAGTGAGGATGTGGAATGCACAGATACAGTGACAAGTGGCAACTCCAACAGTTTTACTCTCCCAGGCTGTTAAGTATCTTTAAAAAATAACAATTTCAATGGTTATTAAGCAAGCAGCTTTTCAGGGGACCAGGAAATAATTGCGATATCTTCTTGTAGGTAAATGGAAAGCTCCAGACAGCTCGGCCTTTTCAAGTCTGAGACTCAATATTTCATGATTGTACTTTACTAAAATTGCAGAACCTTGCAAGGGAGGAGAGATGCAATTACAATAAAAATAACTTCAGTCATTGTTTTCAGAGTTTAGCTATCAAAAGAACAAGATTGTCCCCCAAAATGGAAAACAATTAAGGCACATCTCCGATTCTCTGGAATTACAGCTGCTGTTATGTATCCTGATAGCTTGATACATAAGGAAACTAGACTCATTTGAGCAACTGAGTTGCAATATTTGCAAGTTAGGTATATGAATTTCAGGAGGAAGGAAGTGTCATTTTCTTTTAGTTTGAATGCTTTTGATAATTTTGTAATTTTTTTCCCCATCCTTCTGCTTTGTTTCCTTACTTTTGGTGTTGATAGTTCAGACCCCTTTTGCTTTCAGAGAGGCTGAAGAATGTATAGGTGAGGATCCTAGGGAAATGTTTTTGGGAAGACCTTTGGCTCATGTTCAGCTGCACCAGGCCTAAATTCAGCATTATGTATATGTAAGAGTCGCAGTCACAGCATTGTTTGTGTAAAAGTATGAAGGAGGTGTGGTGGCCTGGAAGGTAATAGCTTGAGTTCCCAGGCTGAGCTTGGAGAACAGTGCATTAGCACTGCTAGTAGAGTAGAAAGGTTATGTTTCTGAAAGCATGGTTGGCATTCCAGAAGATGCCTTCAAGTTCCTGATATTCCTTTATAATCTATGGATAAATGGGATGTATACTGTATCTTATGTATAAAGTTCATGCTTGCAGAGGACTATAGCATTTCTGAAACAGCTTTGAATTTTCCCTTTCATTATTTTGATCGCTTTTCTCTCCTTTTGTAGTAGAATTGGTCAAGAATTATCTGCTCAAGCTGTTTTGTTTTTACAGTGTTTAGGATCGTGTCTGTCTTTATTGATACACTTCTGCTAGTACATGTAGGTGCTTTAGGTAGTGTTTGCAGTGGGATGGTTTTGGTTGTGGGGTGTTTTAAGTCCCCCTTACCCTCACCAAAGACTTTCAGACTATGATACAGGCCACCCTTAGTAGCTTGTTGTGGTTATGCTCATATATAATAAATACAAAGGTGGTCATTTAAGGTTCACTGCATCCTTGTTCTAACTTGAATAAATAGTGTCATGGCCAACATGACCTTCAAATAAAGGGGGAAACCTTCTCAGATTCTCTGCTGTCTAATTTTTTAGTCATCTTCAATAATAACAGTTTAACCCCCTGTGGTAATTTTAGGCACAGGGGAACACACACAATATATACTAGTTTTATTTTCTTAAATTACTGTATTTCAGTTGTTCACCTGAAAAACACTGCTTTAGAAAAGTATTTGCTATGTATAACTGGAGAGCCAAATCTTAATTTTGGTCTGACTATTTTGATTCTTAAATTCCAGAATTAAAAAGTCTCTGGTTTATGATGGGTTTCCTGCTCAATACTGGCAGAAAAATCTACAGCAACTGTTAATTAGATATTTTACAATTCTAACACCTCTCATCCAGTACAAAAGAATGCTTTGGAACTAGCTAGTGTTTAGAGAAAATATTCCAAATAACATAGATTCCAAATTTCTCTTAGGAACCACATCCTTTCTCTAGGGAAAAGATTGTGAATTGAAGAACTGGAGTTACAGGACAGATACCTCTAAGTACACGTGTCCTTTTTAGAGTGCCAAATTATCAGGATCTGAAACTGCCAATTAAGTTCATTCATTGATTAGCAGTTTATAATCAGTCTGTCATTTGGGGAGAACAGTGGAAGGGAGAGATTATTTATTACTTTCATTTTTCAAGAAATGAGACAAACTTAAACTGAAGCTTGCTCTGCAAAGCTTCCACCAAAACTGAAGTTGGAATATGCAGAATTCTCAAACACCTGCAAAGCTTTCTTGTACCTTCAGCATGTGTTCATGGGTATGTTGAAGTGGCCCGAGGATGGATGGGAAAGGCAGACAGTTTCCACTGCCAAAACTAAAGAGGGATCCCAAAACATTGGGCTGCTTGGAAATGGAGGAGGGAACTGATGCAGTCACTGCTGTGCCCCCCATTTGAGATTGGATCTACCTGTGCAACTTCTGGTGTCTGAGGTGAAGGAGGAGTTTGAGCAGTGAAATAAATGGATTTTGTGAGCTTTGTTGTGCAAAGTGTCACATGTGTGACCTGGAGATGGTTGGAGGTGTTGAAATGAAACATCATCTTGAGGAAATCTTGTGGGGATTTGTTGGGCTAAGGAGATTTGGAACAAGCTCGAAGGAGAAGTTTTGTCTGAAGATGTATTTTATGACAGTGCTCCACATTGTCCTGTCTGTCTAACAGGGGAAAAGGAGAAGGGAGAGAGAAAACCTTTGTCTTACTGTCAAAAGTGGGTTTTTCTAATTTTCAGCAATGAAAAAGACTTTGAAAGGATAAAGAAATTCTTTTGTTTTCATGATACAAAAAAATGAGACACCAGTTAATTCACTATGACTGTGAAGATTTGGGGATTTCATTTTTTTTTTTTAAAGAGTTTCTATAAATCTTTTTTCCTACTCATCAACACACTCCCTGTTTGAAGGTACATATGGTAGAAATTCACTCTTTTATCTTGATCTACTGGCATGGGATAAATACTGCTGCTTTCCTTTACTTGAGAACCAGGCATAATCTTTCAAAACAATGTGAAGGTGTAGCTAATATAAAGCTGTGCTGTTAGGAAACTTCTAAAACCAGCATTTGTTTTGAAAGGAAAGAGTTTGAGACTTTTTTCAGTCAAAATCTGTTACAACTTGCGGATGAGTTGTGGTGATGGGTGTTTCTTCTTTTAGAAGATATTTTTTGGATGTTTTTTTGGTGTCTCAGTGCCATGTGTATTTTCTTACCTCTTTTTCCAAGGAGTCTTAATTAAAAAAATATTTAATTAAAAAGATAATTGGAAAATTGAGAACAAAATGGTGACACAAAACACATCATGCTGCAAGTATAACTGTTTGGCTGTTTTGTCTCTTGACTGAAGACTTTATGGGACACAGTGGAGGAAAATAGCTCCACATCTATAATATGTGATTTAATTGAAATTATGCAAGGTGCTGGTCTGTGCTGATGTACTCCAGTGCACTTCCTATAAGGAATAATCTGCCTGATGGAAAGCTGCAAATCCTAATGGGGAGAGCATGGATGGAACAACGTGCTGTTGCTAAGCTACTGAAATTTTTATGACCCACTCTTTATTTACTTCACAAAACTAGAGCAAATGAGACTGTATTTTAAGAATCTGTGTTCCAAAACCCACTATGTAATTCACAAATTTGGTGATCTTGCCTGAAAATAAGTTTGGTAGCTTTTTCTTTTAGTGTCTTAAATTTGAATATGACCAACTGTGAACAGGAAGGTCTCTGTTCAAAAGAAGTTGTTCTTTTTATGTAGTTATCATCATAGCATTCTCTCTGGTTTAACAAACCCCTGACCTGGATATGCCATCCAGGAAAACACTTTGCAGTTTCTTGGTTTAAATTTTTGTCTTACTGGTTGAGTGTTAAGAATGTTGAGTGTTAAGAATGACTTAGAATGTTTTCTTTCCACTGACAGAGTTAGGAGAAGAGAGTAAATTTTCTTGCCTTTCTTTAAAGTTATGTTTTTCTGAGGAAAAGCCTAATAATACCAGCCTAGCTCTTGTAAAGAGTTGAGAGAAGCTGAAAGGGGAGAGAAATCTAGTTTGACTCCTGTAGGTTATGTATCAGTGCCTTTAACATCCAGACCTCGACTGTGAGTATCAAATATATTTGCATTTCTCAGTTGTGTGAGTTGTAACAGTGATAGAGTTTTATTTCAAGGGATAACATGATAATTTGTTTTCTCTCCTGGCAGCCTCCAAAGGTGAAGTGTTTGACAAGGATCTGGCATCCCAACATTACAGAGACGGGAGAAATCTGCCTAAGGTAGCACCAGCATGTGGTTTGGGTTTTTTTAACCTTGGAGGTTTATCTGCTTGATAAAATATTGTATGGAATTGTCATGGTGGTGTTGTTTTCCACAGATTCTGCAAATCAGTGGCATGTATAGGAATATAGGAATCTGCTGAAGGGATCATTCTTGCTGTGCATTAGAGGCCTTGTAGAGCCAGGTTTAGACTTAATGCTTTGTTTTACTTGGGGTAAAAATGTAAACTCCAATCTAAACAAAATTTTGTTTTGTTTTGGTTTTTTTCTCCCTTATAACTGAATATCCTCAGGCCCTGATGGGACTCAAGGCTTTACTGTTTAATGCCTGAGTGTGTAAAGTGCTTGAAAAGCCTTCATATTTCACAAATGTTCCTTAAACTTTGACAGTAGCTCTTCTATACTTGTCATTTGATTATTTTAACATTTAATGTCCACTAAGACGACACATGTACCAGTTATAACAAAGAAGATTTGGGGTCAAGATAAGTCTGAAAGCTTTACTTTACCAAAATGAGAGGCTTCTGTTGCTGGGTAGTTTTCCTTGATAGTAGATGTTTCCTCTCAAAAATCGGTTTCTGAAACTTTGATTTCAGTGTTTCATCACCAGTACCTGATGGTGAAAGTGGCCAGGAGCCAACCATAAACAGAAGTGAGAAACATAACTGTCATTTTTCAAGTTAGTGGCTCGTAAAAGAAAATGTAGATGAAGCAGATGCAATGACAATGTGAGATTGAAAGCTGTTCTGAAGATCCAGAATGGTTGTTGACATGTGTAGCAAATTAGCACTTAAAAGAAAAAAGCTGTATTTTTTCTGTAGATTTAAAATCATTTTAGTGCCGTGTTCAAGATCCTGGTGAAAGTGAAGTTTTCAGAGGGCAATCTCTCACACTTTTTAGGCAGGTCAGGCTCGTCAGCCTTAAGAGAACTTAGATTCTTTGAGTCAGGTAGTGCAAGTAAGGGAACAAACAAGTGAGCTTTGTGGAACCAGAAGTACTAGACACTAAACAATAGCTGAAGTTGAAGTTCCTCTACAAAATCTTCCGATTAAATAAAGCATCACATCCACGTAATCCCAGAATGGTTTGGGTTGGAAAGGACCTTAAAGCCCATCTCGTTCCAACCCCCTGCCATGGGCAGGGACACCTTCCACTATCCCAGGTTGCTCCAAGCCCTGTCCAGCCTGACCTTGGACACTTCCAGGGATGAGGCAGCCACAGCTTCTCTGAACACACTCTTCTGGGTATTTCACTGTTTCCTGCCTTTAAATGGTTCTAATTATGAGAGATGAATGTAGTGTTGGAACACTGTAGTTCTAATGAAGTGAAACAGTTTTTTCAGCATCTGCACTGAAACATCATCTTTATTTGATTGTTAGGTACCTTAACATATCAAACCATTTAGATGGAAAAACTAAAATAACTTAGATTGATTTATGCCTGTTATAATGGAGAATGCATTCTATATATAGTACCTGCAATCAACTTACACAGGAATCTTTGCATTAAAATAGCTTCAGTTATTTTTAAAAGCAGGGAAAAAAATCTTCATCAGTGTCTTTCCCAACTACCTTTTGCTAAACATACATCATGGTGTTGCTTTGATAATCATCCCTGGATTAAAACATACCAAATGGTTAAGATTGGGGTCAAGTGTAATAGTTTTGGGTAGGAGAAGTGTTATTTCTCTGTGCTTTATGATTGCAGTTACTCTGGACCATATTATTAATAGATCATATTAATTAGGTCTGGACCACACTTGTGGATATTGCATCCACTGCACATGTGGATAGAAAAAGTCAAGGTTTCTCCAGGACTGATCTCCTCCCCATTACAGGAATTTTTAGTCACTTAAGCTGTAAGTCAGGTCATGTCAACTGGAGTTTCAGAAGGTTCCCAGGTCAGTAGATGTTTTTGCAAGATCTCTTTAGGGTGCTCTGTATTTAACATGAAAAAATTCTTTAAAGCCTTCTTCCATGCAGGAATTACAAACTGAGAAATACTTGATGGGGTGAAAGCTGAGCAGCTGACTGGTCATATCAGTGATGATTTTTGCTACCATAGCTTCAAAATGGTGATTTTGCAATCTTCCCACAGGAACCCAAATATAAGGATTTGAAATTGTATCCTGGGAGGTCTCTGTAGATACAAACCCCACATGGTGAGGCGTGGTTATAAGTGCCAGTCCCCCGTGACTGAGGACACACTGGTCTTTTCTTAGCTCCTTCTACAGCTGAAGACAAAGCAAACTAGATGATCTTTAAGGTCCCTTCCAACTCAAACTGTTCTATGATTCAAATGGAAGTGCTGTTTTATTGTTCTTCCCTCTTCCTGGTGAAGTCCCCCCCTGACAAACTCACCCTCCTGTCAGCCCAGCTCCCCTGTGGCAGCAGGATCCATGGATGGCAGGTCTTTGAACAGGAGCTACATGCAGATGCCTCTTCATTCAGCAGACTAATTCGTGTTTTTTGTGTGTTTCTGCTCATTTGGATGTTCATTCTGTGTGTGTGATGCTGAGAGAGCCTCTCACTATTCAGACCTGCTTGGCTGGCTCTTATATCTGGGTCATCCCTGTGGAGAGCACGGGATGCAGCTTCTCTAGTCACCAGGTTGTGGGAAAAGGTTCTGATTAGGGGCTTAATGAGCATTGCCAATCTGTAGGAAGAAAGAGGATACTGCTCTATAAATTACTTATATCAGCAAATGAGGAATGACTATTGAGCTGAGGGACACTTACCTGTCTTCACTGCTTTCCTGCCAGAGCTCTAGGAGTGGTATGAGTGTCTCCTCAAGTCCTGGCTGCAGGTGTCCCCCACTGGAGAGAGAGCTCTGAGGGCTTGGGAAGCTGCAGAGCTGTTAATGAGGCTTAACTGATACGCTCAGGCACTCTGAGCTCTGTCAGTGAATATTTTTATGATTTTTTGTGTGTGTTAGCCTACTCCTCGCTTTTAAGTTCCCAGTGAGTTATATGAAGAGACAAAGGGGAGTACTGCAGCACAATTTTGTAGGGAACAGTCTTCTTCACTTTCACTTTTGTTATATGAACAAAAATTTCAGCCACAAGATGTTATTTTTAGTGTTCTTGAAATGAGTTTTGAGCTGCACTGGTGGCAATGGCATATTTTACCTTTTTAAAGGCACAGAAATGAGATTAGCAGCACGGTTAAGGTGGAATGGTCTTGTCTGGTGTGATCATCCTGTTCCTAGCCTCTCTAGGAGGACAAGGGGTCAGTGGACGAAGAGTGTATTTCCTTGGATTAAAAACTCTGTGCATTCAATAAAAACTACCTGGATAGCTTGTATGGTCTAGTGGTCTGCTGTGATTTTTTAAATTACTTAATACATGTCACCCTGAAAATTGGTAAAACCTAATGGTTTAAGACTAGTGGGTTTCACTTTAACCCTGTCATTTCAGTAGCAGAAGCTGCTGCTGGTGGTGAATTTTTGTGCTTTGCCACTTTGCTGTGTTGAGATTTCAGTTTTATATTGCTTCTTACAAAGGAAGGTATGGTTGTGGAATCCAGACTTTCTCATTCATATTATTACTTTTGTGAGCAAAACTTCAGCTTATTTCTCCACTATTCCCTGGTCTCCAGTAGTTTTCCTTCTCGTAACTGCTGAGGTTTGGACTGGAAAGGTCCCGAAATACCTGAAGAGCTGAACACACCTCTATGATTTCAACTTGTAAATAGGTCAGCAGCTTCACTGACTTAATATGCAGCATAATATGCTGGTCATATAAATTTCCATGCTGGATATCTGCATATAGGGAAGTCTGTATCTTATTTTATGTATTCATATGTGTTTATACCAGAATTCAAGAGCATGTATTACAGTTAATAAGGAATTTTTTCCTCCTGAGCAGATAGACTAAAACTATTTCACTTTCCTATCCCTGCCTCTAGGAAGCTAAAGTCTTCTCAGAGAAGAGAGGATGATAATCCTCTTTTTGCTAATTAGATATCCCTCCCAAATACCCTTTTCTGGATTGGATTGTGCTAGTTTTGGTGAGAGATGCATTGCTCTGCAAGTTTGTCTCTCCACCAAAGTTTACCGTGTTCTAAAATGTATCTGTGTGCTCAGTGAATAAAAAAAATGTTCAACGTAGAGACTGTCACAAGGATTTCTGTCACACTTACTGTGCTCGAGGAAAATTTATTCAGGTGTTTTGACAAAGGTTTTGCTCAGGTCGGGAGTTCTGTTATGACACTGTGTGGAATGTAATTTTAGGAAGACATGCCAGCTCCTGTGGTTTAAAATTCCACTATATACAGTGAAAGAAGTAGATCTTCTTTTGCAATTACTTCCTAAGTTCCTAATGTTTTCTGAGAAGATTTCTGACACAGTTTAACTAGAAGTTGCACTGTATAATATGTGTGTCTTTTTTTTTCCCAGTTTATTGAGAGAACACTCAATCGATGGCACTGGCTGGGCTCCAACTAGAACATTAAAGGTACTGTTTCATTTTAGATGCGTCCATTGAACTAGATATAGTTTAAAAATCCTTTTATGGACTTGGAAAGAGACAGATAATGTGGTTTGCTCTGGAAACAACTGAGATTTTTGTCTTTTAACACGTACTGGTGGCAATACTAGAACAAGTACAGTACTGACTGATCAAAGAAACATTTGCCAGTTTTAGTGTAGCTGCACAAATCCTGCTGTGACTGCTAAAAGGGTTTGCAGCTTGGTGGGACTGCAGATGACCCTGAGACCCCATGGTTGGTAAGGGGGTCTGTTGTTTTTTTGCCCAGGCAGCAGTTGCCAAGAGCAAGAGGATGATGTGAGCAAGACCAGCAGTAATGTCTGCTAATTTCCATTGATATTCCTGACAAATCAGTGCAGAGCACTGAGCTCTTCCTGTTGCTGGAATTGTGCTGTTTATGGACAGTATGACCACACGGTCCAGTTACTTGTCAGTGCATTAAAGATTGTGGTGGGTGTGAGTTCACTACAGAGCACAGAATTCCATGGAATGGGGAGTGACCGACAGCAAACGAGAGCCATGAGCTGGGACCCAGGTTCCTTTTGTCTCTTTGTGCTAGCTGCCCCCACTAATCCAGCCTTCCTGAATCCTTTGTTTCCAACCCCCTGGATGGGGCTTTGAGCAGGAGCCTGGTTTAGTGGAAGGTGTCTCTTCCCATGGCAGCAGGGTGGGACTAGATGAGCTTTAAGGTCCCATTGAACCCAGACCTCTGTTGAACATTTGGAAACTGTGACTTGGAGCACCTGCTCGTCTCCATAATACTGTGTGAGTTTGCACAGTAGCACTGTGCATGGCATCCATTCTTGGCCAGTGATGGACTTGTAAATTAGTATTTCGTATTCCTCTCATCAGTAATATGAAGGCAGACTGGTTTTCTGGAGGAATAGTACCCAAATTTGTCCGATAAACACTGAACCACTGCTAAGATATTGAATTTGAGAATGGGCATGTACTGTACTTCTGCAACAAAAATTCCCAGGAATTACTAATGCAGCCATTTCCATGGTTAGTAAAACCATTCCAATTAGATAACACACATCAAAAGCCACATGCACAAACCAACTCTGCTTTATGCTGCTGCGTGCATGGAGCTTGTGTGCTTAAACCTTTAGAAGGCTGAAGTTTCACATTATGTCTCATCTTCTGAATCCTTGTGGTGGCAGCAGAGCTCTTACACGAAAAATCCTTCAAAATAAACTGCTGTGACCTTTTTGGTAATTGGTTTCGGTATCAAATGGGTAGAAACTTGAAGAAGCTTTTTGAAATAAAAGCAAAACTCTGTTAAATAATCTGTAGAAATTATCTGATAAAATGTATTTTAACAGTGTAGAGAATTCTTAATTGTTAACCTGGTTATGAGTTAGCAACAGGAGCTTATTTATCTTTCAGTCTCCATTCTGTTATGTCCTGCATCATTTTATTGTATACTTTCCTCTCCAAAACAGATAATTCTTATGAATTAAGGCTGAAGCTGAAGACTGTTGCGTTATTTTGAGCCTCTGCTCAGAGTGTCTGAACTTGCTTTTCTCCTGCTTTTAGGTTTGATGATCAAAATGGAAGTTTTCCAGACAGAAAGCAAATAATGGCTTTAATTCCAATTCTGTTCTCAGATTTTATGTCACTGGAAATACCAGCTTTTAAATATCTCATATGAATTAACACAGTTGCTGTTACACTGATACTCTGCTTCTTCCCCTTCTGTAATCCCAATTTCACACTCAAAAGTGCTTTAGTAGCTTCTGTTATTCCTCAACATTCACTTCTTTGTATCCTGTTTGCCATGACTATGACCTGCCTGGTTAAGATACTCCTTGGTATTCTCCAGCTTTCTCCTAAATGCCCCTTTTCACTTTGCCATAAAAATATCTGGAGTGATTGATTTTAAAAACGGAAGAAGTGGATCTGTGTATTGTGATTGCAGAATTGGTTCTAAAAGTCAAGCTGTTCCTTCTGCAATGACCTCTAACCAACTGCAGCTGGAAATAGGTCCATAAATAAGTGGCTGTTGCTGCTGTCAGGAGACACAGGAGCAGGAATGGGAAGTGTCAAGGTGGTCTTAGACTGTAGATCTGCAGACAGCTTTTCATACCCACCTATAGGAAAGCGCTGTTTTTTTCAGGAATTTGTCTCCCATAACTTCAGATACAAGGTTAATAAGTATCTGCCTGTGCTATTAGATTATCTAATCTAAAAGGAATTAACTCATTTTCAATAAACTATTGCTGTTTGGAGTTTATCCTTAAGAGGCTTGCTTATTTAATTAGTGTTTAATACTAAATGGGAAAATTTTGCCCTCTTTGTTGCAGTAGTTCTGCTGTTGTCTTCAGGCAGTAAAATTACTTTATTTGAAATCATGCAAATGCCAAACCTAATCTCTTGGAGAAATAAATCAGAGGGTTGTGACTTAACTTTTCCAGTTAACTTTACCTCCATGTTTAAGCATCAACCTGAGTAGTTTTGAAAGTACAAAACTTTGATCCATCATCTTAAGGAAAATAGGTGGTCTGCTGTCAAAACCATATGTAATCAGTGCAGAGGAGTATTTTAAACAGACAATAACTGTCACTGTCTTCAGGATGAAGGGAAAAAAGAAAACCTGTATGTTCTGTGTCATTCACATTAATTCTTGTTGCTCGTTTTTTCTTAGTGTTATGGTGCCATTGTACAGCTATTGATTTATTCAAGTTCTGTTTTGGAATGGGTCTCTTTGTCTTTCTTCTCCACCTCTAAAAATTGAATAAGACCCAGACAAAAAAACTTCAGACCTACTATTTTGTGAAGAGAAGATGTAAGCCACTAAAGACAATCTTCTGTGTAGATCTGACATTCTGTTTTCTCTGAAAATAAGCTTCAGGAAATTTTTTCTGCAGCATTCTACTGTGTTGTATTTTGATTTATAAATTGGCTTTATCAGTTCTGTAAGAAGTGATTTATTTCTTTCCCCTCTGTACCTGCCCAGGCTGGTGAAAACACACAGCTTATCGTAGCCTTTGCTTCATAAAACATTTGCAAAAGTTTTCATTTTCTCTCTTTTATATCTTTCTCTCTTTAGTATCTTCTGGTAAAACCAAATCTTTGGTTTAGGTATAGTAGCTGTTATTGCTGGCATGTGAGTCAGGAGAGCAGGGCAGTACATTAGTAAGTCTGATTAAACAGTGGTTGTTTTCACCAAATTGTTGATTTCTGAATATGCAATTTGTGTCAACTTTAATCAGTTGAGTAGACTGGTCTCCTGAGGGCATGGCTTTAGTGTTCCTAATCACTGCAGTGTAGTTCATTAGGGAGCTATCACAGAATTCCCCAGGGAACAATTTATACAAGACTATCTGCCTGCCCTGAAGTACCCTCGAGGACAAATGTCAAGGAGGCAGTGACAAAAGTGAGGGATTTTACAGGAGTGCTCCTGCATACTTGGCAATTCGCAGCTGGCTTGGTCTGGGAGAGGAACAGACTGGAATTGTTCCTCTTTTCTTCCTTCTCATATATTTAAGCACAGAAGAAGTCGTTTTCCAGCCTTCCTCCTTTTTTTGTGTTTGCTAACTGGAGCAGTTCATGCCATTTAAGTTCCCCCAAGCCCTCTGTAAGCTGCTGCTGTGCTTGGGTGGGAAGCATGGGCTGGGATGGCAGGCACATGAGAATTGAGATGCCCTTTGTGGGTGACTTATTCCAGGTGGAAATAGTGTTTTTCCTCCTGCAGGAATTCTCCGAGATGGGAGAGGAAACACAAAACAGAATTTTATTTGGGAGAAGACTGTTTTGGAGGGAAGAGATTTTTTCACAAGCTAAAAAGTACCTACATCTCTGGAAAGAAAACTTTTTTTTTTTTAATCCCAGGATCAGTGATAAATTTTGTGTACTCAGGTACATTTTAGGGGTTGCAGAGAGGTGGTTACTCCATGGGGGGAAATTCCAGGTGTTTGAGGAGGAGAAGCATGACAGAGCCTGGTTTGGTGGGATGAAGAGTGCTTGGCTTTCTAGGCTGCAGTGAAGGGAGGAAGAAGCTGGACTTGTTTTCAAGGTATGATGGAAGAGGAAAATCACTTGGAGCTGGTGCATAGGCAGACAGGATAGCAGAGAGCTGCTCCAGGACGCTTCTTTTATCGTTGTTGTTGCTTCAGTTTATAAAGCAAACCAAAAAAACTTGCTTCAGACATCTTGTATAAATGACTACTGCTCCTTTCGTTCATCTGAGTGGCTTAAATTGTTTGTTTATAAAAAGTGGTTTAGCAACGAGCTTTGATTTAATCAATCTATTAGATCTGAAATGCTCCTTGGATCTCTAAAGGAGTTTCTTTAATTGGAAGTTCATTAGCTGCTTTTGTCTGGCTTTCTCTCTGCTTAAATTAATGTATTAAATATAGTTTGCTTGTTAAAGGAAAATCTTAATTTGCAATTTACATGTCTGCCTTCTCTTGAAAAGAAGTGCTGTGGTTGTGTTTTTGAAACCCTTGTTTGTGTCATGGTTTCAGTGGCATTGCTTTTGTGAAGTGCTTGTGAGAACTGTCACTTGGGAAGGGCTGGTGACTGAATTAGGACCTCCTGCAAATGCAAAGCTTTGAGACTCTCTGGCCTCTGGAGAGGCGACTTCAAAAGCTGTATTGAGGATTTTGATTCATTGCTTCTGAACTTTAAACACTGCTGCAGTGGCAGGTCTTTTTCTCCTCATTTGGCATGCTGTAAATAAATCTGTGGGCAGGGGTTTGATGTAACTTTTCACTCAAGTGCAACACAAAAATACTCCAGAACGAAAAGGGACCATTATAAAGGGTTATTTACAATTGTCTGATCTTCTGACTTGCTTGTGTTGACTTCCCCACTCTCGACCTCAAACAGGTGATATTGCCATGGAGCAGAGTGTGTTTCCCTCTATTCCCTCTTCCACTTGCTGTGGATTTAGCCAGGTAGTGCTCTGCTTGGGAACCCTGGTTATTTAGCTCAAGTATCGTACTTAAATCCTCTGAACTAACAAAGTAGATGTTAATTAAACTCACTTGCCTTCCCGAGACCTGCTGTTGACTCCCAAAAGCATCTAACCCCATGGGTGTCATCTGTGCTTATGCAAAGCCTCTGGGACACTGGACAGAGAATAGGGACCAGGGCTGCCTGGGCAAGGCTGGAGCTGGAGCCAGGTAAAGCAGCTCAGGCAATTCAGCAGCTTTGCCTGCAGGGTCCAGCCTGGGCAGACCTGAGTGCTTCGGTCCAAAAAGCACAGGAGGTTCTCAGCTGTGCTCTGAAGTGACCCCTCAGCAGTGGGTGCACTTGTACTCTCACTTGGATGTCAAGCACGGAGAAGAAAGTTGATAAAAAGCAGCTTTTTAAAGGAAAAAGCCTTGTCAGGTGTTACCTTGTCAGGTAGAGATGTCTGATGCTCCTCTTACAAGGGAGTTCTCATTGAGGTGCAGCAGCATCAAGGTGTGCACTTTTAGCATTTTAAGTTGCCATCTGTCCTGCTCCTGCCTGTGGAGATAACCTTTAAAAGTCCTTGTACTATGCCCAACTTTCAGTTTTCAGAGTATTTAAGCAGAAGTTTGGTAAATGTTTGAAACCAAGGCTGATGCTTTATTACACTGAAAGAGAATAGAAGTTTTTGAACTGTTAAATCTGACAGGATCTTTGGTGGCTCGTGCATCCTTTAGTTCCATCAGAAAATGCATTCAGACCAGTGCTTATCTGCATGCAGCAGGCAGCTCTGCAGTCAGTAATGCAAAGGCATTCTTTCTGCAATGCAACAGTGTCAAGTTTCTCAAATACAAAGTATTTGTTTCGCTCTTGTTCCATCCCATTTCCCTTTCTCAATATCCTAGATTTAAACCCAAGCTAGCCTCAAACTCATTACAAAAAGCGTTGCCCTCTGGTAGGAATTTAGCATTATTTTTTTATGGAGCCGTGCAAGGATATAAAATGAATCCAGCAAGTCATAAAAGTTGAATAGGTGGAAACATCAAAAATTATATTAAGAATTTCACACATAAGTTATTCAGTAGTAATAATAATAATAATCCCGTTATGCGTTTTGGTGTCTAGAATGGCAGTGAAAATGTACAGCATTCTGACAACTTGTGACCTTACAAAGTTTTGCTGGGTTTTTTTCTTTTTGTGTTTGTCATTTTATTTTTTTTTTAATTAATCTCTGTGCAAAGCCAGACTGAACGAGTCAAGCATCCCAAAGCCCTAAAACCAGGGCTCAGCAAATAAGAATTTGGGAGCAATTTATTATGTAATGGGAAAACAATTTGGTATCACATTTCTATTACCACCACCCCCAAAACATCCCTGGAGGGCAGTAAAGCCTCTGAGGGCAGCAGTGGAAGGGGCTCCTTGTAATTCAGTGTCTGGGTCATTCCTTTCATGCAGTTTGTGTCTGTGCTGCCACTGAAGGTCATGAGTACCTTTAAAAGTTGCTGGTTTTGCCACACATGTCAAGGTGCTGAAACTGGAAACACAATGTCAGCTGTGCTGGGCAGATTCACATTTTTAAAGCAAATAAACTGAGTAAGGTTATTTGTGCAAGATCAAAAGGAAATTGGATCATGAGAGGCTGTTTTCCACATAATGCTGACATCATGTCTTTTTCATTAAGACATAATTGCATGGTGTCCTTAAGGGATATGGATTTCTGTGATCCACCACTCAGCAGAGGGCCCAGAACAGGAAACAAGCTGAAATGCACTCAGTTATTGAAGTTCTTTACCATGGATAGGAAGTTTTAACTTTCAGGCTTTATCTTTATTGTAAAAGGCGCATTTTAGCCATGAAATTATTAATGGGCAGCCTTTGTCCCACGGGTGGAAATGAGGCAGTGTGGTTTCCATGGGCAGGCAGTCCAGTGCTCGCAGGCTGTCACGAGATCAGCCCTGATCTTTACTGAATTATCTGGTAGGTGTGAGCTCCAATGCCCACACTGCAGTGGAATTTTGCAGTAGGGAGCCTGGTTATGTTGCTCCTAAAAGAAATAATATTTTCTGTAGGTAGAAAAGTGTAGCCTCTGAGTTGGTGGTAGATGATTCTTTTAGATCTCCTTCTGTAGTAATATTTGGATGTTGTGCGTTTTCTTCCTCTTTGAAGGTTGTCAATGGACTCTGAGGTCAGAACCCCAAAATAAGCTGCTTGGTAACACTATTTGGAGGCAGGTTCCCCTGAAACTTCCTGTTTGCAGAAATTGCAAACCCTCTCTATTCAGTGTGTTTAAATAGGTACTTAAAGGTAATAGAATTATCTGAGACATATTCTTATGTAAGAACAGTATTTTTTCATACTCATACTACACCTAACTCTCTTTTCTCTGATATTTTGACAGTTTCAAGTATTTGTCTGACACCATTTTAATTTTTTCATTTTAAGAAGGCATTGCTGAATTAAGTTTTATAGCCATCCTTTAAACTAAGGAATGCAGTTTTCAGTTGGTGACATATACTAAGGTATTATTTCTGTCCTTGAGTGGAGAAGCAACAGGAGTAAGGCTCCTGTACACACAGATCTGAACTGTTATTTGAATATGCAATATTCGGTTTTTGCTGACTCCTAAATATCAAGTGTCCATGAAATGGGAAAGCTTTTTCAATATTTTGATGTAAATTAGTTAAACATCACCCTTAATCTAGATTTAATTTCCAGTAATTTAGTGATTAATATAAAAATTAAGTATGTGAATGTGTTCAAAACACCTGAAATGCACGTCTAACTGACTGTGTTTTTCCTTTGCAGGATGTTGTCTGGGGATTAAACTCCTTATTTACTGTAAGTAAAGGAATATTTTGCATATCCACTTTTCTTTTTCCTGCCTGGTTTAGCTTGAGCATCTGCTAATGTGAACCCTGTGTGTTGCCTCTAAAAGTTTAGGTCATTATTTCCCTCGACTTCAGTGGAGGGTGTACAAGTATGAAATCAGTTTGTGCTTTTTTTTTTGTGTCTAACTGCAAGACTAGTACAGATGGTCTGAAGTGCCAGCTTTTTGTACATCCATTTTACTGTTGGTTAGAAATATTGTGGGACATTTTGATAACATGTTACTTGATATCTTCCATGCAGTATGAAATTCCTTCCTTGAAAATGGAGGAGAGGGCAGGAAGCTGTAAGAGGCAGGCAGGATGCAACAGTTGCTTTTGTCCTAAAAGTGGAGAAGCTAAGTCTTTACTGTAAAAAGTTGCCTCTTTTAGGGGTTCCAGGGTTATGGTCCCTTTCCACAGCCATTGCTGCTGGGTAGGAAGGTCAGGAGAAAGCAAAGAGCGGCACTACCTTGGGGGCCACATTTGTCATGCCCTCTGGCTCCCCCAGCCACTCCAGGATGTAGAAAGGAGGCTGTGAAAAGCTTTGGATGAGGAGCATTGCTGTGGGCTTCCCTTGTCTCAGCCTGTTTTTGGAGAGAGGAATTCCTTCCACCACTGCCTGCAGGGACAGAGGGGTGACTGTGCTTCCAGTGCTGTCGCTGGGATCGTGGAGAGTTTCTGAAACTCCAGCATAGCCCAGGCCAGTGACTGACTACAATTTGCTGGGATTTCCTGGCACCCCAAGGCTTGATTTGTTTCAACAACTTCTCTGGTAAATTGATTTTAGGAGATTGGAGAGCATTTGCCTTTTTAATAAAAGGTAATTGCATTTCACAGTCAGTCTCCCACTGCATGATGAGTAACTGGAAGGGAGTAAAATCCACTGGAAGTACAAAGGAATGCCTTCAGGGGCAGAACTGCACATAAAAATAATCTGTAGGGCAAACAGCTGCAGAGAGTGATGGTTGTGTGTTGGAGACCACAGGGATTTGTCATGACCAGTAAGAGCCGTGCTTCCCAGCTTCCCTCTTGGATTTCCCCCACAGCCACCTTCTTATAAATAAGTAGGCTTCAGAAAGCTGGCACTGGGATCACATGGGTCTTCCAGGTTCTTTTGGGACTTTCTGGAAGAAAGAGAGGGGAAAATGAGGTGGATAGGTGTGGTGCCTTGGCTGCTGCCTGAAAATGAGTCGGAGACTGACAGGAACCTTTCACACTTGTGGAACAGCAGTATTCCACTCTGTCATAGACTGAACTAAACTGGGGAAAGGATCTGGGCTGCAGGCAGAATACGGATTTGTGGTTCAGTATTATTTTTAATGACGATTCTCTTTCCAGCAGCATCGTGTTCTCCGTTGTTTTTAACCCTAGACCCTCTCTCCTTCCAAAGTTAGTATTTGAGATTAAACTGAGAAATAGGAGGTTTATTTTGACTTTCTGCTCCCTGACCCCACATGCCTTTAGTTCCTGGGCTCTTTGCAGTTCTTTTCCTCTTGTTTTTCTCATACTGCTAGAACATCCCTATTTCTCATGCTCTAGGTTACATAGTTTCTTCACAGGAGGGAATTAAATTGCTTTTCTATGGAGATGGCATTAAGGAAACTTCTACCTTATCACCATGATGTTTGCAGAGTTTTTTGAAGGGTTTACCTTTGAGCAAAAATCAACAAGAATTGTGCCTCCTGAAAATTTGAATGTTCCTTCAAAATTGGGCTTAAAACTGTCTCAGTTTTCAAATAGAAATGCGTCACTGCCAGGGAGGAGTGTCACAGGGCCATGTGTGGCCTGCCACCAGAAGGGCTCAAATGCCTTGCTGCTGTTGTCCTTTAATTGTCTTATGATTTGGTTTGCAGTCATCAGACTCATTTGCGGTTTCCTTTGGCAGGGACACCACCAAGGTAGTGAGAAAATGGCACTGGGGTTGCTGGTCCTCTTTGCTTTGTTTTGTTCCGTTCTTCACTGGGAATTTGGGTTCTGCGTGTGATGCAGTGAGTGGGAAACCTGTCATGTTCTCTGTTTTTTTTCCCAGGATCTTTTGAATTTTGACGATCCCTTGAATATTGAGGCTGCAGAGCATCATCTGCGTGACAAGGTGAGTCAGTGGTTTATTTAAAGCCCGTTGTTCCTAAACAAATACACGTTCTGTACTCGGATTCCCAGTCAGTCCCTTTAAAGCGCTCGCGCTGGTACTTCAGGCAGTCGAGTGACTCATTGTATCAGCAACCAGTTACTCAAACAAAAAGTGCTTTCTCTGGGAAGGTAAACTCCACACAGTAGTGTTAGTCACCATATGCTGGAATTGTTGACCATAATGTAGTCATGTCCCCAAAATAGATGATCTTTTCCTTCTCGTTTCTGAGATTGTTTCCCTGAAGTTGTACATGTTCTGTGCAGCAAGTGACAGTGGGTTGGTTTGTCTCAGTGACGTGAGTAGCCTTTACCTTAAAACACCTGTGAAAAGATCTCTTTTTCTATCTCTTTCCAAAGGCAACTTTTTTCTTCACAGCTCTTACATCTGTCGTGCTTTTATAAAGCCAGGAAAACCTGGGCATATTTAAAGGCCAGGAGAGGAGTGGAAGCTTTATTTTCTTGTTACTGCTCCTAATTTTAACGTGTGCATTACGGACTGGGTCAAAACGTGTTCTTGCTTAGTGGCCTGGTGAAAATGTACTGCTCAGCTTGAGAGGGTGTCTGGAGGTAGAGATGAACAAAAGTGCTAACTTCTTCCTTGTATCAATGTCCAGAATGGCATCACATTTTATTATATAGATTAATTCCTCAAGCACACAGAACTTACACTTGGCATGCTCAAGATCTCCTGTTTTAATTAAATCCTTCTGATACTTTTGTGGGGGTTAACCTCTAAGATGGAAGAAAGCTTCCAGGTAAGTGTTGATTTGAAGAGTTCATTGAAAATGCAGTCAGGCAGTGCACCTAATTTATCTCATTTTTTCAAGAGGAAATATCAGGATTGCAAGTTCCATCTTTCCAGCTGTTTTTTGATTAATGAAATGTTGTAGCTATTCTGGTATTTATCAAGGTTTGTAGGGCTGGGATGAGACTGTAAACATATATTGAGAAAAAATTTCTAGAAACCTACCTTGAAAGAGAGGGTTTTTTGTGGCTTTGTTTTATCATAGAATTGTTTGGGTTGGAAGGGGCTTTAAAGACCATCTTGTTCCAACTTCCCTGCCATGGGCAGGGATACCTCCCCGTAGACCAGGTTGCTCCAAGCTCACGAGAGCAGAGTAGAGGGGGAGAATCACCTCTAGGACCCCTTCCAAACCATAAAACACTGAACTGGTCACTGAGGGGGTACAACAAAAACCAGTGTAGGGAAACAAAACCAGTGTAGGGAAGGCTGAATAATTTTCTTTGGTTGCATTGTTAGCCTGAATTATTCTCCAGTCTCTTGCTGGGAAAATTTGTAGCTTATCAGTGCTTTGAGTAAATTGTTACACCTCAGAGTAGCCAGACTACTTCCCAAAGTGTCCACTCCCCAGAGGGTGATGAAATGCTATGAAATTGCTGTCTTGCACCTCTCAGCCTTGCTCAGATGTTGGAAATTTTGGGAATCCACAGGAAGGAAGAATGTTACCCGATTTGTAAAACACACCTCCCTCAAAAACAGAGGTGAGTGCTCAAAATAGGTCCTGCTACACTGATAGCATGAGAGTTGTTTGGCTTTTTCAGGTAACAGCAGCTGCGGAAGAAATGAGAAGGAAATTGAGTGGGTTTTTGACACTCTTCTGAATTACAAATATTTTTGGAACGAGCACTTCTTATTTAGTAAACTCTAAGGGTTCTCCTCCCAGGCATCTGTAAAATTCATATTCTGCCAAGTTAACTCTTTTTGGGAGCTTATTTGAATTTAGTGGAGGTGTTTCATTGGTAGTGACAGCACCAGGTAGTGCTTGGTTTTCTGTAGTACGTCTTACAGCAACATCAATAAAAACCAGTGATGCCTGTGTGGAGAGAATAAATTATGCAAGGGAGAGAAGAGGCCGCTCAGAGGATGCAATTGCAGCCTGAGTTAGCATGTTGTCTTTCTCTGGTATAGATGTCATGTAGCATATAAACACTTTGTTGTAGAGTCAGACTGCAGTGGTCCCATCCTGGCTCTTAAGAAAATACTTGAAATGCTCCATATGATTAATATGGGAATGCTAATTAATTTTCTTTTCCCTGAGGTGTTTTTACATGTGTAATCAATGACAGAAATAGTGTATATGTAATGCATGTGCTCACATGCACAGTGTCTGTGCAAAGATATGTGCAAATGTATCTATATACAAATAGTTTTGTACAGAGACATCTGTGTCTGACAGATCCTGCAGGAGAACCTTGACAGCACGGGAGTGTGTGGCATGGAACAGCCAAACCACGTGTACCTCAAGCTGTCTCCTGTGTTCCTCCCAGAGGAGATGACTCAGTGTTTCACTGAAGTCATTTCAGATTTGAAATTGTGGAGTCCCTCTGCTGACATTCCAGGCTAAATGTGGCTGCCCCAGAGGTTAACAGTTAATCCAAGGCCTTGCCTCTGGCTATTGAAAATGCTGGGTTTTGTTCAGTTGCACAGGCTGGTTTTAAGTCATCACAAATGACTCCTGCCTTGCAGATGCTGGAAGAAGTCACATCAGAAATATCAAATCCTTATTACTGATTCTTAGAAAACAGCTGTGCTGGGAATGTTTGTGTTAGATCAGGCTAGAAGGGACACTTGTGATCCCTTCCTGTGTAAGGGACCTCTTCATTTTTACATTAAATCTGTGGCTTATAACTGAACTCACAGTTGTGACTTTTGGGAGAGCAACCTTGTTCTAAGATGTAAAAATGATGCAAAATTCAGAACTTGAGTTTTATATTGCATTAACCTCTCTCACCTGAGATCTGAGTACACCTTCAGCTTCCAGCCCTCCAGGATCAACTTCAGCTCCAGTTACTGAACTTGGTCCCTTCCAGCTTCCTTCAACCAGGGAGCATCAAGTCTTTTATACAAATTATTTTTTAAAGTACGTGTGATTGTTTATGTAGCTTTAGTCATAAACTTTTTTGCCAGGTACCAGTGACTTTTTGGAAGGCTGTACAACAAATTTGGGCAGAGTCATCAACATTTGTTTTCACAAATGTTGGACAAAGAGGTTATCTCAACATTCAGACTTCCTAGCCCTCTGTATCCAAAAAAACTACCTTCTTATCAGAAGTGTTCTAGAGACCTATGTTGTAACTGGTTGTTTTTGTCAAAAAGCCTTTTTGGTGACAGCTGGTGTTATCTGCCATTTTGTGTGGCAGAGTTTTGCAGAGGTAGGACTCTAGTTGTCTGCATTCAGTGGGACTGGTCAGGTGATTTCCTCATCATTGAGATCCAGTTTGTAAGGCTTCAGTTTTGCCCATTGTGAGCTTATTTTATGGTTGTCATCGAGGAATATTGGTGTTCCAGAGTTTAGGTACCCACATGGTAATATTTCTCCATGTAGGCAGTGACATGTCCCCCCTTCCAGCTTATGAACTCCACCTCATGTTCTCTTGTCATCTTCTCATGTCTCTTGGTAACTGTCTCATCACTACAGGGGGGCTGTTTTTCAGGTCCCCCCCAGCCCTTCTCCTCTTTACCACCAAGCCCTGTTGCTTCAGCCTCTCCTAGTGCTGAGGATAGAGCCTTCCTTAATCTTTGTTCACGAAGCCTAACCATGAAAGTGCCAAGGCCTTCCCAGCAGTGCTGGTCCCAGCCCAAGCATGTGGGACTGTCCCCATGCAGGCTCTGGGTGTGTCCCAGCAGTGGGCCTTTATCTTTGGCCTTGCTGGGCCTCCTGTGGTGGCTGTTGGCCTTTCTTCCAGCCCATGCAGGCCCCTCTGGAGAGTGGATTTGCCCTCTGACGTGTTGACTGCATCCTCTTTAGCAGATCTGTATTTCTGCAGATCTGCTGCCAATTTCCACACTCAACCAGTTTTTAAGCTGAAATCTTCTTGCAAACTCATTCACTGTGACTTTTGGCATTTAATAAAGCATTCAGATAAAATTGTAGGTTCCCCTTGTTTGGTTTTTTCCCCCCTCTGCCTTCATTTAACTCATAATTGTTTCCAGCTTAGGGGAAGTTTGCATTGTTCATTTTTGCAGCACTACTTTTTAGAACATTCCTGGTACCCACATTGCTCTGCAGTTAGGCCACAATCGCTGGAAGATGATCAATCATCCTCTCTTGGTTTAGAGCTCAGTAAATTGAAATAAAGGATGACCGATGTCTCTGTGTAAACTAATCACGGTGTTTCCCAGTGTTCAGTCTTCTCACACTGATACAATCTCAGCAGTTTGGTGGTATGAGTGTTTTTGTTGAATTTAAAGAAGCTGTTACTAGTTAATGAGCTGAGACTGCTTTGGATTTAGCAGAGACATCAGCCTATCAGTAATTAGATGGATGACCAGAGCCATTAATTGTCAGTCGAATCAATTCCACGAATTCCAAAGCAATGAGCAAGTGCTGAAGTTTTAGTGACTACTCATTTAAAAACAATGAGCTAAAAATTGTAGGATTTGCAGTTTTATACAGTGAACAAATAGAACTTTTATTGATTTGCTCTCTGTGGCAGCCAGGTAGGCTGAATACTGAAGGAACAGGGATTATAACTTGGTCATGCAGAATCAAATGAGCTTAGTAGTTCAGGACTTGTGTATTCCTGAGCTAGAGGTTCTGTGGGTGCAGTGTCTGTGATTTGTTAGCTGAAATCTGGAGAATACTTTCCATATGTCCATCTGTCATGGTTGTTTTGAGATACTACCTCAGGACATTGCAATTCTCTGGGGCCCTTAAAAGCCCTTACATTTCCTAGTAGTGTTTACTTTGGCCAAAAAACATTTCAGAGCCATATGTACAACACACAACAGGAAGATTCATTGCATTCTTCATGTGGCTTAAAGTAGAAATGTGTTTTCAAATACTCTTTAGCTTTCTTTTTCACCTAGACCTGCCATATGAGGAATGCTAATGCTGTGTCCTGTTTTGCTTGTATTTACCTTGTATTTGGTGCAATTTAAAAGGCTAAAGCACGTTTGGTCATGCTGCAGATGAGCAGATACTGATTTACTTGTTCATC